CCCCCCCCCCCCCCCCCCCGGTCATCGTAAACTATGGTAATATGTATAATTTGAAGAATAGCCAAGATCTTAACGTGCATATTGATAACATTTGGTTCTTTTTAAATAACGTCAGCAATGGTCCATACGATAGTGAAATGTACGAAATAATACCAAGTACAAGTAATGAAGGCAATCCTCCTGGACTTCAACAATGTGAATTGAATATGTCGAACAATATTCCTATCATTGAATCAAATCGAAGAGTAAAAAGCAAAACAAAAATTTAAACAGAAAATCTTTCTTTATATTTCATAGCATTTGTTCTCACATCCAGCTTTTCCGAGAACGGCACCTCGCAAATCTATATCAATTCATCAGCAATTCTCTCAACTGAAAAATAAAATTAGCAATAAAATTAAAAATAACGGTGAAAATGAACAGGACAAAAATAGAGGATATTTAATGGTTGAAAAATCTGAAACAGGATTGATTGTACTACCCAATGATAGTATTGATCAAGAATTAACACAATATGCCCAGTCATGTGTTCACATGGATGAACTTTCTTTTGATCCTAGCCAAATTCAATGTTCATCAAACCTCTTATCTACGCCCAATTTTCTAACAACACAACAACAGTTCTTTGGCATATGTACAGCGTCTGCTAATGATTGTCAGTTGAATTTTTTAATCAATCAAATGAATCATATTAATTCGGTATTTATTTAAGATTTCAATGATATATTAACACAACCGAATACTGAATGCTGTATATTGACAGATGATCTTTTAAATATTCATGATACACGAATATCGGAAACAATATTATCGCAATCATTCCAGTCAACAAATGATTCAAATGATGCATATGCTGGAGTCGATCGATCAACACTTTCTAATGAAGAATATAGTAATGTATATTCCATAGAAAAAAAGGAAAGGAATCACAACAGCTTAAAAAAATTTCAATAAGCTTTTGCTTCATATCAAAATCATGCTAAACTTTCTAAAACTTGAAAATGTATAACAAATTATTTTCATTAGATTTGATAAAGTATTTTTTTTGCTACATTGAGCGACAGAAAATGCAAGTCTGACTTATGAATCATCATGCAAAGTCTGATGTTGTTATAGATTAACTCCAAGCTTAGATACCGCTAGACAATACAAATTATTCAAATGAGAGATTTAAATAAGACTTTCTATGATGATTAATAAGGTGAATTGGCACAGAATTTAATATTTCAATAGCTGTTCGAGTCGAACTATGAACCAAACATTATAAGACTTACTTTTTTCATAGGCTATGCTAAACCTAACCGCAATTTGATGTTGTTGAATAAAATTGTACAGTAGATAGATTACATGATTTGATCTAGTAGACCTTTCAAACGAATTGATTATAATGAAAATCAAGTTTATATGAATAACAAAATTACTTAATCCAACAAAACAAAATAGTACTCCTGCATATGATTTCAAATTATGATGTTTTTCAATGAATTATGTTGAGTTATGATAGGATTCAATAAAAGCTAAGCTAGCTTCGATCATGTTTCTGTATGAATATCCAGTTTTATTCAACTGATAAGCGATTCAGTCGAAAAGGAAGTGTTAGAACTCACTGCTTCATAAACAGCTGATTTCGGCACAGTTGCTGCCACGAAAATAAAAATATTAGCAATTCAAAATAACCTTTATTTACGGCTCAGTTTCAGTATTGACAAGAACACTGTATATTTATATATACTTCAATTCACTGCTTCTCTATAGTGTATCTACTATTTATGAGTCATAGAGAAATTTATTAAACTGAAATATTCACATTGCATAATTCACAATGAAGCAATTTGAATGATGCACTTGTTCTATTAGAAATATTTCAATCTATTTTATTTCTAGAATGGATTTTGTTCGATTTCAGAAAAAAATCACCGATGTACTAATTTTGTAGGCTTTTTAATAACACTAAAGAGGCTAAGTTTTTTCTTTAGCTAATTTTGAATTTCTCAGAAAAAGATAATCTAAATGTTTTGTTTGTATTTCTAGTTCGAGCACAAGAATCAGACTTGAGACGTCTTACAATGTTGGATTTAGAATTATCGAAGAAACTTGATTCCCTTAATGATGAATCAGAAGTAAATAATAATTTTTAGAAACGAAAAATATTGTTTTCTTGTTTTGTAAATTCTAGTCGGAAGCAGCATTATTAGATCGTTTGTTTGATGAAGGGTTAAAAAAGAATTTAGATCTTCAAAGAGAATTGAAAAAATTGCAAGGTTTCATTATTCTATCAAATTGTTTTCAACGGTGCAAACCGATTTATTTTTGTGTAGAAATATACGAACTCATGTTTTCTCCGTGGACATGTAAATTTTGTACATTGATAAATGAACCATATATTCACACTCGGAATTATATATGTGTTTCATGTGATAGTCCGAGTCCATTACGACAAGGTAAATTGAATATTTTTAATTTTATAAATAAACTATTTTGCTTGTAAGTTTTAGCTATGCTGACCGAATCTTTATGACCCAATTTTTTCTCATTTTCTACTTTACTAACCGATTCCTATGCTTCGTTTTGTAATTACATTTACAAATAGATTACTAACAGTTTGATACTTCGATTCAAAGATATATCTACATTTATATAAACTCACGTTTTTGTTTTCATTCGATATCTTTTGAACAAACAAAAATGAATATTAGCATATTTTAGATTATCATGTCTTCAGTACACGATGATGCCACGGATCTAAATAGTGATACTGTATTGGTGCAAAGTTCGTTCGACGTGGCTCAAACAGATGATCATCAGACGTTGCACAATACACATGATCATATGATTCAATCAATGGACAGCGATTTACAAAATGAAACTCCAATGAATTTATTACCGGCTGGTAAATGAAGACATTTAGATTTTCGAAAAACCGAAAGAATAGAACTATATATCTCGGGGTAAAAGCTCTCAGAAAAAATTTCCATTATAAAAATAAGTCATAAAATCTCCGGCAAGGTTTTCTATCTCGAATAAAACATGACTAAGCAAAACAAAAAGTTTCTCATATCAAAAATAATATTTACTGAAAAGATTATTTCATCGTAGGATGAAATACAGAATAATTTCGTTGAAAAATAAAACGGGATTGAATATCATGTCTGATGTCACCTTTTCAGTAAAGTCATGTTGTAAAAAGGCTTAAGTCCTCGTTTAAGAGAAACTAAACTTTTAACAAGGGACCCTCAACGTCTTCCACAGGCAGTCGAGCCTCCTGTTGCTTTCATTAGTACTTGAAAGATTTTAGTCTATAGAGCATTAATATAAGCAACATTTATTCTATGAAAAATAGTTGAAGAAACGCATTCAAATGCGTTTAACTTAAAACTTCTAATGCTTGCTTGAGATCGATTTTAACGTTCGTTTGACAGCTAGAACTTTTCTCTAACTACAGAATTTTATTTTATAATGTTTGATAATATAAAGTTTAATGAACATGCACTTCTATCATATATATATATATATATATATATATAAATTATCAACGATTTACCTCTTTTTAGTTTCTTAGATCGTTTGTGCATGCCTTCATATCCACTACTAAATGCGAACAGTCATGCGTAATAAGCTAGCTTGATTAGATCTTGCTGACAATATATATATATGATTAAATTATATCATCGCTCTATTTTAATTTATAGTAATAATGCTAATGATTATTGGATGATCTTTTAGTGAATGTATTAGAGTTTTGTATCAACTCAAGTCGAATGAAATGAAACTTTCTGAACTAACAAATATTGTAATCATGATTGAAAGAGAGATTATAAATAATTTTGTAAATCATGCCGTTATGATTTTCAACTACCGGCTGTGAGAGTATTTTCAGATGCACCACATTCTGTCTATTTTGCTTTTACAAGTGATAGAAAGCTGCAATCCTTTTTTAAGCATACGATGCTATAATCGGGGTCTAGTTTAGTTGCTTGCTTGCACATTTGCTCGCTAGGATACTTGCTTACAAAACTATTTAGAAGTAAACATGTAAGTAAGACATGAAAATATTTATTAATAACAATAAGAATAATGATTAACAATATATAAGAGAAAAGAGACTCGATATTGATAACAAACGTCCGATATATTTCAATTGGTCCTTCATGTCTCTATGTGGATTTTGAACTAAAATATATAATCATCTGTTCAATGATTCGTTGTGGTGGCTGACGACCAGACATAGCATTAACGATATCTTGAGGGCGTGGGTGTATTTATCATGTTTCGCTACAAACCCCATACCAACACTCACGAGCAAATGTTCAAGCGAATAACTGTCCTAGCGAGCAAGTAACCGGCTCCCCTATAATCGATTTGTTAGGCGACAATGTTTTCTTCGTAGTGAAAACCTTCCCTAAAAAGGCCAGATTATCTGTATATTCGATCGTTTAATTGCATTGATACCGAACACATACAGTAATGAGATTTTCAAAGGCGTAAAACCTAGTCTATTTGTGACTGAGAAGGATTTTCTTTGGGTTGAGAACTGTTAATAGTATTCTTTTCAAAATCCTATGGGTATTATGATAAAGAGATACTAGAAATTAGGGACATTCCTGAAATTCATGCTTGAAACCTGTAACAACATTATTTTAGAATTTTTTAGAAATGATCGTTTCTATTATAATATTAAATTCTAGTAGTCTAGAAAGTTTCATTGCATTCGGCTGAAATCGATACGCTTGTATACATTGTCGAAACAATTTTCTTATTGCAATTATATATTTTTTTCATTTCATATAGATAAACATCCTTTCTGGGAAAGTTCAGCAGAAAACCGCACCAGTATTGAAGATACGCCACAGCTGGAATATGATGAACACGATATTCATTTAATTGCTGATCGAGGTAAAGTATAATCTATATTAGAAGCAGAATAAATAAAGTAAATCTCCTATAATTTAAAAGAAATTGATGATGACTACGAATTAGAGTATGGTAAGAATATGGATGGTGACTAATCGATTAACTATTCTGAGAGCTGAATTTAACTCTGAAGCTTTACTTGTCTTTTGTTTGTGTTCGCCGCACGACTCTTCTTTTTTGATAAAAATCGTATTGCAGCAGGATCTTCACTTTGACAATCACCAACATGGTGATTTCGCTTTAAATAACGACAGTAATATTCGTGGTGGTAAATCACCCTGTTCATACTCACCAATATTTCCATTTGATTTGAATAATATAATCTATTAAAATTTCTATGTTCAGATATAGCTGCTCCTACTCTCGGCTACACATCTCAAAAACAAGGTATTATGAAAGGCAATATAACATCTGATGGAATCATTGATGACGATTTCGAATCAGAATTAGGAGGACGCGAAACAACAGTCAGTAAAATAATAATCATAATTATAAATCCGTCAATATATTTTTATTTTTCAAGGAGTTTCACGATACAGAAGATGTTGATTATCATTTGATGCAAAAAATTGCTGATTATGGTATTATTGAATTATGTGGCGAAGATAAATTCGGTCGAAAAACTATTGTTTGTTCTGCATGTCGTTTACCACATGAAGATATAATTAAAAATAGTGAATTTAAAACAGTGAACAAATTCTATGATTGTTTATTAAAGTAAAAGATTTTTACTTTCAATATAAATATTTTTATTCGCCTTATTTTTACTTCAAAAGATATATCTTAACTACGTTTGATCAATACGTTGATATGGATTATGTCATTGTTTATTTTCATCATGGTTTATGTTCATATAATAGACCAGCATACGGTTGGTTACTAAGTGCTTATTTTCATATCGATCGAAAGTATGATTTCAATTGAAATCTATTCATAATAGTGAAAATGTGTTTCGTCTTTTATTGTAGATACAAAAAGAATCTTAAAGCATTATATATCGTCCATCCAACAAAATGGATTAAATTTTTATGGCCATTTCTTCGATCAATAATAAGGTGAACAATCGAATTTTTTTTTCGTTTGAATTTTTCTTACAAGAATTATTTATTTTCAAGTTCAAAATTTTCGAGTAAAGTTATTTATATAAATCGTCTTGGTCAATTAGTGGAATATGTTCATATGGAAAATATTAAAATACCAACGGAAGTTAAATAGTATGTTTTTTGTTTTTGTATTTTCTGTTTAGTTGAATAATTATTTGATTCAGTATTGATCCAATTATTCCAATACCAGTACCACCTCTAGAATTAAACCCATCAACGAAGTTTCATGTTTCACTTCAATTGTAATTTAAAAATATTGTCCTAATTTTAGTATCATTCGAAAATGCTTTTTTGTTTTCTTTAGTCTTCTTGATCATGAACATGGTGCAACAGTACCGGTTGTTATTCGAGAAACAATTGATTATGTTAAAAGTTGTGGTAGGAGAATTTATTTTTATTGGTGACAGAGTTTGCAGCTAGATTTTGCTTTCTTGTTAAGGACTGAACGAGCCAGGAATATTTCGTCGAACTACTTCTGTTTCATTGATTAAAACAATTCAAGAAAAATACAATGCAGGTTAGATCTCGATGAAAATTCTTTTTCTCTAATTTATTGAAGAAAATTTTCACAGGTGAAACTGTTGTATTTCAACAGTATGCAGACGTTCATTTGGCGGCATGTGTTTTAAAAACATTTTTGCGTGATTTAACTGAACCATTATTGACCTACCGTTTATACCCTGAATTTATTGGACTCTCAGGTAGTGAGTATATGATTTTAATATGTTGGCTTCCGTTTGAAAATTAATAGTTGGCCATGCATACTCGAACTCCTTCTACGCTTAAATGTCGTATATACGATATTAGTTTTAATGCATTTTTATCCATTTGCTTTGATTAGAGGGGCTTGCTTCTTCTTTATCTATGTTATTTTCGATAGATCTTTTATGAATTGACTGATTTTGTTTTTCTTCACATTTAGTACTTAAACTACACAATCAAGTTCAAGTGATTCGAGATTTAATTATTGAAAAATTACCAGTACAGAATTATAATGTTTTGAAATACTTGACTGAATTTTTAAATTTGGTAAGATTTCTTTTTTTGATAGGATCTTATACTATTTGTTGAAAAACGATTTAGAAAGAACTTTGAAGTACCGAAGAATCTAATTATTGAGGTTTGCTTATTAGTAACTGTAATTACATTTTGATTAGGACACTTATTTTTTTACTTCTCTGACAAATAGGCCCATCAAGATCCAAATTTGATGAGCATTTTTTTCTGATGAAAAAGACAATATTTTTTTCTGATGAAAAAGACAATATTTTTTTCTGATGAAAAAGACAATATTTTTTTCTTTTTAAACTGATGTTCTGATGATGTAATCAGTTGAATATAAGATTTGATGATTTTGCTGAGAAAATGAAGTCGACATACTCAGATAACTCAACCAAAGTCTAGACGACAACGATAATTTTTTATCATGGCCATAAATATCAAATGATATAATAGTTATTGTTCACTTTTGAAAATCGAACATTGTTCAAGAGTTTCCCTCGCCGAATCAAAATTTTACATCATTCTTTTTTAGCAATTTTTCTGATGAATTTTATTATGAAATCAATATAGCTAAATATTTCTTTTACGGGTCTCATGTTGAATAATAGGATTTAAGTTTCTTTTTTCTTTCATTTAGATTTCAATTTACTGTGATACAAATTTGATGACAACGAAAAATTTGTCAGTTGTTTTCGGACCCAATCTAGCTTGGTCAGACGATGTACATATGAACACATTAGCGAATATTACACTGATAAATACAGTTACAGAAATATTAATTGCACATTATACAGAAATTTTTCTTAAATGAAAAAAATATATATTATTTTATATTCCTAACAAAGCACTTTTGTTCTACTGATCTTCTATTTAATATATTTTTATTTTGTCTTTCAATTATCGAATATTTCAGCAAATAAAATTATGCATTGCAGTTTATTTATAAATTGTGATATCGTTTTTTGTTGTATTTCTGTTGGTATTTTCTCTAAATAGATTTTTTTTCTTTTAGATTCCCCATACTTTTATGAGAAAAAAAAAGAACGAGTTTAAGTTATTGCTTATAATGCATACTATTGTAGATATGTGTTTTTAATTATAAGAAAGTATTTAAACGTTGACAAACTAATGCTAAGATAGAAGCTTTTATTTAGAAAAACAATAACTAAGCAAATAAATATTTAATGATGGTGATAATGATCTATAAGCGATGAATGCGAATGATATTCGTTTTTTATCTCATTATTTAATTCCCAAAGATTGGACTGTTCATTTCATTGATCGAAGAACAGATAAAAAACAACTCGAGGCAAATAAATATTCTTTTAGAAATTTATTATTTTATGGCGATTGCTTTGCTCTGTTATTTAGGTAGTGCAAGAGCTTATTGAAAATGCTCGGCTATTCGCTTTTGACACTGGTTAGCATGTTTTTCTAATTCATCTTATAACTACTAGTTCCTTTGTTTCTTTTTAAAGAAACAATGCCTAGTTTTTATCATCCCAATTTCCAACGTAATCAAAATAATAAATGGACAAATGGTATCTGGCAAGGATTACCAAGTCAAACTCAACCAAATTCATGTAGTAAGTAAACGAATTCTTGAGTAATTTTGGTCATATGTAGCATTTATGCTATAAAAGAAATGTGAAGGATAAGTTTGGATATTTAGATCTGTTCGAAATTAGTATAAATGTTATGTTGTATTCCTTTTTGTGTACTCAAAAAGAAAAGAGTACACTATAGAATCGGTCAGTGTGTCCGGCCGGCCGGCCGTTTATTCGATAACTCTTCACAATTACATTCGATTGAGCTGAAATTTTGTGCACAGAATTATCTCATCAATATCTAGGCCGAGTTCGAAGATTAGAAGGATCCGTCAAGAAATGGCTGAGTTATCGAAAAAATTGTCATTTTTGATCAGACCATCCCTGAGGAGGGGTACAGGGATTTTTCAAAAAAAACTTTTTTTTCTCAGAATTATCCACAACATATATAAATCGACTCAGTTTTTAACGCTGATTCTAAATCTGATATTAGTTTTGAACTAAGTCATAGCTTTCTAACGAAACATCGCCTGAAAAACGTCTCAAAATGCACAAAAACTGCATCCAGAAATCAAATTGCCTCGTGTTCAGACATTCTAGAATGACTCATGTCGCATGCACTTTTTGCAGTACGCATAACTCTCAGATGAAATCCGAAGTTTCCACATTTATTTTTTAAATATTTTGAACATTATTTAAATAAATAGCATTGTTTACATCGGATCTAAAAGAAGTGCTGACATGCGAAGATCAAAGATTATTATCTTTCTTTCATCGACCATGATAGACCTTGTTAAAACAAGAAATGAACAGTGCCAAACAGATATGAGAAATCAATGTCCATGCCATTAGCAATAGTAACTAATTTGTTATTTATATTTTAATCCCAGAAAAATTCTGTTCACCAGCTGTACTTCCTAATAATTCGTTCCTACAAAGGAATCAGCAGATAACACAAGTGCCCTTAAATTTAATATTCTCAGATTTGATAAATCTTATCGAGTAGTAGCAAATATTCTCCTCAATACATCAATCGATTTAGAATTCGAAACGATTCTTTTTGAATACCATCGCCATTGTCATGCTCGCACTTGTCCCTTGTTCTCTCACGATAGGTTTTAGATTGATTTTATTTTGTCGATTAAATAGTTAACTCATATCTATTTGATTTTAGTAAGTAAACCATCACTTCTTCAAATTGCTGTTCGCAGCCAACAACGGCATGGCAAAGATGTGCTCCTTTTCGATCTTCAAGAATTATTCGATCGATCAATTGTTTATTTTCGTGAATCTCATACAAGCAGTATTGTTCATAATCTAATTCGATTAATATTCAATCATCCCAGTGCATATAAAATTTGTCAATCATTTGTCAATGATCTATCACAATTGAAATGCTCATATGATGAAGATTGCTTTCATACAACTAAACTTCACCATTGCATTGAATTATCAGATCTATATAGGCAAGTTTTTCCGGATGAAAAAAATCAACAAATCTATGGCCTACAACGTATGACAGCAATGACACTACATTTTCAATTAGATAAAAAACAACAATGTGCCAATTGGTCTAAACGCCCGTTAACACAATCGTTACAAGATTATGCTGCCATCGATGTTATTGTGATGATTGATATTTATGATCGACTAAAAACTAAAATTGAACAACAATTAAACGAGCAAGACAATCAACTATCTACATGGTTAGTATATAGAAACATAAAACGACAAAGACGAAAATGTACAACATTAATATTGTTCGGTGCGCAAACATAATGAAGATAAATATCAGTTCTCTATAAACGAGCGGGTGGCCGCTAATCCACTAGTTCACCAACTGGTTTTGATTTGCATGCTTAACTTTTAATTGTTGAACATCCATCGTACTTATTGTTGATGACGTTTAGTTTAAGAAAACAAGATGAACTAATATTTCTTTCATTTTTTTAGGGAAGATTTTCAAAACTCTGTTGAAACCTCAATTGATCTAAGTCAACTTATTCTTTATCATTGTGTATGTGGTGAACGATTTATTACAAATAAAACTCGTAATAAACATGCCCGAGCATGTATTCAAGAGCAACAACGAATTGAACAAGTTGCTGCAACAGAAGCACATGCTCGTAAAAAGAAGATTAAAAAAATTTCAGTTAATAGTAATGACCCAATAAAACCTGAAGCGCCTATGACAACATCTTTTTCAACACTTGACTTTGACGCACCACCACCACCACCACCGCGTGGTCGTGGCTATATTCCACCGGCACTGAAACGTGCTTATCAATCTTTGAATCAAACATCATTCTATGAACAAGTTCGATGTTCATCAGCCTATGATGAACTTAATCAATTAAATGAAAATCGTCCACCTGACGCTCAATATTTTCTTGAAGATGATGACACAGAAGTGGCACAAGCATTTGGTCTTAAAATAATGAATATATCTCCGAAACCAAAATTAATAAGCCAAACTCAATCGAATGCATTGTCAACAGCTGTGTCTAAGCAAAATCTTAAAATAGCTGCTTATCCACCAAAGATTTCATCGCGTGAGTTTTCAAATTGTGAATTCAAAATTCAATTGTGCTGTTTTTCATCATAGAATCTCTAAATAGTGAAAAAACGTTCTACGATGAAAATGAATTACTCGATCGTCTGCAAGATGATTTGGATAGTCAACCTGATTTTCATTGTCATCTTTTTGGTTTAGGTGGTCGTGGCCGATCATTATCATCAATGCACATATCTCCACCAGAGCCGTATCTAAGCAAACGAAGTCATTACTCCTAAGTGCTATAGTTCAGATACTGATCTAGAAAAAGACAAAAGTTAGAAATCAACGCATAGATTTTTGCAAAGTTAACTCAATTATATTGTTTTATGTATTTTTTTTTCCATCGATTATGTTGTTCGGTGAAATATTGTCTGAAAACATGTGGGATTTCATTTTGGATTTCATTTGTAATAGATGTTTATTGCATTGTATAAATACCTTAAATGAACATCTAAATCAATCCAGTACAATCAGTAGAATTGAAGATGATTCAGCGATTGTTGCTGAATTTTTAGAGATACCTAGTTAACATTCGCATCTCGAGTATATAATAAACAATAGTAGAAACAGTGAGAGAATTCAAGGAGCAGAAAAAAAACATGGATTACTCTAAAGCTATAGATATCTTGCTTGAATGTTACAAAAACCAAATTCGATATTTGTAGAAATAAAAATAGAGCTTGGAATGAAATATTAGAAATGCATAAACTACTAAACAAAGGAGAGAAATCATTGCATATCCAGGAGCAGACTAACCGAAAAAATAACATAATAAAAGATTTATTATTATTTTCTTTAGAGACAAAATTAGAATTTTTATAGTAAAAAAAACACAAAACATCAATGTACTTTCACTCTTTTACAATGCACATGATTGATATATTTTTTCACTCTTCAGATCTTTTTTTTATGTTGTCAAAAGAAACAAAAAGAAAATCTATAAAATAACTTCAGAAGTTTATCACAGAATAAATTCATGTAGCAAAAATATATCATAGTTAAGAACTAGATAAATTCAAACTTACATATCATTCGTAAGCAGCTGTTTTGCTCTGTTAAAATTTCACGACACTCCCGAATGATTATTATACAGTAATCTCGACGTACATATTAACAAATATGTCTAATGGAGACTTGAATCATAACTATTCTACAATTGTAATGATGTATTTGAAAAGCGTGTGATCATTTTATCATAACAAAATCTTCAATAGACTCCACAGTTTCTAGTTAGCGTTTGAGCCAATCATGCTTATAACTCGTGAGTGACAATTGAAAAAGGAAGCACAGTAAAAGTCGGTTCTATTGATTTATTGAATGTTTTTCAATCAATGAAAAATAAACATATAAAAAAGAGCTGCTTCTTGTATGCAAATGTGACTGCAAATAAAATCAACAATCATCTTTTTTTCTTCATAGTTAATCTTGAAATAAAATAAGTGGTATGCGTCGTCATACTCAAAACTACAATTATAGACACTATTCTTTTCTATTTCCGACAAGTTCAACACATTTAAGAAATGCTCATTATCAATATTATAATCCTCGTTTACGTTTTCAACAAAATCTTTGTTCAAATGCAGCACCTACTTCTACATATTCTACGCCGCGTTCTCAATATCAATCTCAACCGTTAACAACAGTATCTGATATACTTGAACCAATATCAGTATTTGACAATGGAGAAACTTCGAAACATCATCAAGCTCCTGTCACTCCTTTACCAGTGATATATCGATCGGAAAATACGAACCGAACGTCAATAATCAACAATGAACGTTTTACGAAAGCTAGTGCTATGCGTGAACGTTTATTAAAAGATATTCAACGAAATATTAGTGAGATCGATCAAGAACTATCGTCATTAAAAGGACGACCTCCTATGCCACGTTACATTTCGCAACGTCTTCCGCCTTTGGAAGATAGACGAGAAATGCTTACTTCTAGAACGCTAGCGCTGTCGAATGACGAAGATATATTTTGGCCTAATAAACCAAAACGAGCGTATCAAGTTGTTCCACGTATAACAAGTGAAATAATAAAAACATCACAAAGTACTTCACCGAAATTAACGGATAAAATCACTCCGGATTTATTTGTTGGTCAATATCATTATGGAGTAGAAATAGATGAAATGGAAATTCTTGATGATGATCCGGAAAATACTGATTTTAAATCAAATTTTGAAGAAATATCTCGATTTAATGCTCACGAAATGTATTCTCTCAGTCGATTTCGTCGTGAACAATCCGATGCAACGAAAAATCGTGCATTAGTTTTCATTCCACAATATATCGATAATCTTGAAACCCGAATAAATGAATTAACAGAAGAACTTCATCAAAATAATTTAACTGCTAGAAATCTTTTGCAATCCTCAGCTGTTACGTCTGTACATGAGTTATCATCAGTTAGTAGATACGACAGTCAAGATTTACAATTACGTCGGCAAACTGCATCAGAACCAAAACTTCAAATTTCATCTGAAAGTTTGTTCAATTCTCATGAGCCAACAACCAATAAAATCGAATCAAATTCAAATAATACCATGCTATTGAAACCTATTAAACATTCTCATCTATCAACAAATACTCAAGAAGCCCTTGTTTCCTCTTCACAACCAGTAAAAAGCCCTGAGAATAACATGAATCACGTTTCAAGTGATGTCCACAATGAATTTCAAAGTAAAGAACAACTTAAATCCGTTGATACCGGCCATCTGTTTATAGCAGCTCAATTAGAGAGAATTTCTGACGATCAAAGAAAGAATACTTTCATGAAAGAACCACATGCATCGCAGCAGCAGCAGCAGCAACAACAACAACAAGAGCAAACTAATGAGAATACTACTCAACATGTTAAAGAAACAGAAACGAAAAAAATCGATGAAACACCGAAACAAGTTGTTACTGTGATTTCAGCATCACCGTCAAAGAAAGTCCTTCCAATTTCAATTTATGACGATATGCAAATTCAGTCTACTAGAAATAACGATAGCACTAACGGAGATCAACGATATACATAAACAAAATATGTAACTATGAATACTCGCCAAAAATAAATAGATTAAATAATTATTCAGCCGGTTTTCAATTAATAGCAGAGCCGAGTAGTTAACAAAATAAAACGTGATATCTGTAATTTCGGCAAGTGACACTTAATTTAAAAAAGCCACTTATTCTAATGATTAATCGAAAATGAATATCTTGCGCTGTATTAATAGCAAAACAAAAAAAACTGAAATTCATTCTAATTGTGGGTCATCATCTTGTTCTTAAAAAAAATAATAACGGTAAACATAAATTGATGGTATCTTTATTTTCACTAGTATTAGAGTAACGTAAAATCTGTGGGATTCATGGAGATATAACAAATGCTCTCTCCTATTCAAATCAAGCCCAACAACAATTGAACCTAAGAAATAAATTACTTCGATCGACTTATGATTGATAAATAAAACCGAGTCATTTTTAGATAATCTCAAAACAATAATCAGTTCGAAAGTGTAGTCCTTGTTTTTTTTTCGAGAAGATAAAATCTGAGATATTCTCGATGATCAACAATAATTTACATATTTTAGTTCCTCACACTTTTTAGTTCTTTATCATAAAATACATCAACATAGAGTATAAGATAATGTTAATTATTTCATGCAATTCACGTCTGATATGATTACATTCGATTAGAATTGTTCATTGGCTGGTGACTGAACATTGTCAACATCGAATCAACTGCTGAGCGTCAACAAACGAACGAAATGATTAATTGTCTAATGATTTATAGATTTTCCTTTAATAAACGCCTGCTTAGAACAGATAAACTACGAAACATTTACATCAAGTTTTTACACTATTTTACAGAAAATCTCTCAATATTATATTTTGATGGCTTTTCAAATGAAATGAAATAGATCTACAACTAGATACTTTCATACAAGAGAATATCTAAAAGATAATCAATATAATTGTTCTAAATGTTTAGCAAATTCGATTATTTGACTATGAAAAAGAAGTCTTGATTATTGAATCATAGAAACTATCTGAGAGGACTTGCTGATGAGTATTGTCCTGTACCATACTTGAAAATATCGTTGCATCATGCTTCATTGTAATCAATATTGTTCGAACTAATTTAATTTTATCAAATTTAAATAATAAGGCAGCATTTTATACCATACAACTCATTACAGTGATGTTTAGTGGCGTGACAAGACAATCCTAAAACGTATCGTCATTAGTTGAATAAGTGCAGTTTCTCATTATCATTGTACTAGTGATTTTCAATGGAGAAAAAAAAACCCAGCTGCTATCAAGTTCTGCCTTAAACCAACCGTTTGAAACTAACCGATTTACTATTACAGAATAATTGGAGTCGGTTGATCGAACACATTTTTATAAAAACAAAAAAAAATTCGTATTTAAATTGCCTGAAAATTACATTAATTTGTAGTACTTTCTTTGCTCTTACAAATAATACATGAGAGAGAGAGAGAGAGAAATAGGTATTTATATGGAAAAATAAATTTCACGATTCGATTCGCTGTTTTCTTGAGAATAATTGAACTGCACTTGATAGAGAAAAATTCATATTCTTAATATTTGCATTTGCTGATTAATATCATAATGATTTCAAATTTAGTAAAAATGCGAAGAAATTTTCCTCACTCATAAACTCGAAAAATATTTTTGTTCTTTTTTCAATTTTCACTTAAATTTTTAACACGAATATTCGGTTTCATTTTCAAACAGACCAGATCAATATTTTATATATTCAGGATTGAAATCCACTTTTGTATGACTCCGCTGTTTTTTATGTATCTAAGGTAAACTATTCCGCTAAGATCCATTAAAAAGGATAATGCAGTAAAATAAAATACTTAACAAATCCTTTTAATAGCATACATTTGTAAATGCACGAATAAAGAAAATTTATTCAACTCTATTTCACGTCATTCAATGTTCTACATGTTCGAAAATTTTTCTATTATACTCATGCATTGGTGAATAAGGAATGAAAGACAAGTGCCGTAAAAGCTGCTTTGTTTATTCATTAAATGCTTTGTAGTCGAAGACGAAGAAAAAAAAGCGAAAAAAAAACAGGACTTATTTACTGCATGTATAAAAATTTAGTTAAAAACAGAATTAACGATTTTTCTTGTTTTTTTTATATTCAGTCTTTAAAACAAAACAATTGGTATGCGTCGTCATACACAAAATAACGATTTTAGACACTATTCTTTTTTACCTCCGTCGAGTAAAACATCTGCGAGAAATACTCATTATCAATACTATGATCGTCGTTTACGTACTAAACAAAATATTTATTCGAATATGACACAGATTCCTACGTATTCGTCGCCACGTTCTCCGTATCATTCTCAATCATCGACAACAGTTGCTGATCTAGGTGAACCAATATCAGCATTTCATGATATAGCACCTCCTGTATATCGTCAGTCTGCTGTAACGTCTCTTCCATTAGTACGTCAACCATCGAATATAAGTCGACAAGCATCCATTAATAATGAACGTATGGCTAGAGCCAGTGTTATGCGTGAACGTATACTGCAAGGTATTCAACACAATATGAGCGAAATTGATCAAGAACTATCTTCATTAAAAAAACGACCTTCAATTTCGCATCATATTCCACCTCGTCTTACGCCTCTTGTGAATACACAGCCAACATCTGCTCATAAAAGTACTCCTTCACCAAATGTCGAGAGTAAAAATTGGCCGAACAAACAAAAAAAAGTTTATCAAGTTGTTCCACGTATATCAAGTGAAATGTCGAAAACATCGCAAGTTTCAACGCCAAAATTAATGATGAATTTCATTACAGATTCATTCGTCGGTCAATATCATTATGGACCTGAAGTAGAAGAAATTGAAATTGATGATAATGATCCAGAAAATGAAGATCTTAAATCAACTTATGATGAAATATCTCAATTTGATTTTCATGAAACATTTACTCTCGATCAATTTCTTCGTGAACAGTCAAATTTATCACAAAATCGTGCATTAATATCAGTTCCAGAATATGTTGATAATGAGGACACGAGAATGAATGAATCAACAGAAGAACTCGATGAAAAAAATCTAATCGATACAAATACTGTTCGACCTTCAACTGTCACATCCTTACGTGAATTAACATCGGTTGGAAAATTGAATATTCAAGATTTTCAATCACTTATACAAACAGCACCCGAATTAAAAATTGAAGTTCCATCCGAGCCACAAACAGTCAATATTGAAGAATCACCGCATGCAATAGATACAAATTTAGCGAATACTATACTTTCTAAACCGATGAGACATTCTCGTCTATCAATAAGAACTCAAGACACACTTTCTCTCTCTTCGCAAACAACGAAAAATCCTGATAATAATAATAATAATCATATGAATTATTTTTTTAGTGATTTTGGCAATGAATTCGAAGGCGAAGAAGATCTTATATCGATTGATCCCTATAATTTTGCTCCACCAACTGAATCAGAACTCATGTCCGAAGATAATAGAAGTAATGTTTTAATGAGACAATCTCAAACATCATTATTAAATCCTCATGCATCACAAAAACAACACATTGAAAATAATAATCTTTATTTAGAAGAAACAGAAAAGAAAAAAATCGATGCATCGACGAAACAGAGTGTTACTGCGATTTCAGCATCACCTTCAATGAAAATGCTTCCAATTTCAATCGCTGACAACACACAAACTAAGTTTGAGAGAAATAATAATAATAATAATAATAATAATAATAGTAGCAGCGACAAGCATCAACAGCATGCATTAGCAACATCATTAGATATGAATGAAAACGAATCATCCGACGATAATCCATTCGATGATTTACCTACTAATCTTCGTTCGTCTCTATCAATATCTGAACAAAAAACTACAAATAGAATTTATTCGAAAAATGCTACACCTACTGATGAACGATCAAGGCCAATCAGTAAGCAATCTAATTCAAGTCGACAACGATCTGCTTCTCTGCATCATTCATCTCGAAAGCAATTTAATGATCTTCTTTCTCGAGAACAATCGTATATATCTTTTATTGATCATGATGAAACAACAACCATACAAACAGAAAATGACCTTGATGATCAACAACAAACATCGATTAAATCACGTCGTAATTCAGCTATTCCTGTTCCGCTTACTTCGCCCGACCCAAATAATATTCCAGTATCTACGTCAAGGACAGCATCACCTGAAAGAAGAAATTCAATTTCTTCAATCGATCAAAATATACTTTTCACACCAGATGATATTATAGATTTCGATAATTCAACAATAGATAATACTCAAGTGATATCTTCTCAACAGCCAAATACAGAACATGAAGAATCTGGTTCTCCAATAGATTTGATATTATCACAAGCAAATCAACATGAAACAAATAATGAACTACTGGAACGTGAATTAGCAAGAAGTCAAAATCAAGATGAATTTATCGATCATATCCCTTCACCGTCATCGCCAATACACGAACAAGACCAACACACTCATCCACCACCATCATCATCGGTTAATAAACAAGATGACGATATCCATCCGCCATTGCCATCAGACCAACATCCAAATGAACTAGTTCATCATAGTCCTTCGCCACCATCTTCATCAATACATAAGCCAAATCACTATAGTCATTCAACATCATCACCAGTAAATAAACAAAATCACCATATGCATTCACCATCAACATCAATACATGAGCAAAAACATCATACACAATCAATAACATCATCAATGCACAAACAGGACCATAATCGATTAAAATCAGTTTCACCATTAACCGTGGAAACAAAGAAAACTGACGACGATGATGATAATAACAATTTACATTTACCATATATTTCTCCGCCACACAGTGATGTATCCGATGCTAAATTAACATCCATTGGACGAGAAGATACTTTTAGACAACCAATATCTCCTGATTATACAAACAATCAATCGGAAAAATCAGCATCAGCGCCATTAGAGTCAAAATTAGGTATTGAAGATCAATCGAAACATGAAGACAAAGATCTATCTCCTCCAGTATTTATAACAGAACAATTACCATTAATTACTGCAAGTCAACGACGTTCGAAATTATCCCTTTTAGTACGTGGACCAAAATCTCAGCAAAATAATTCTACTCATGATGAAAATCCACAAACACATGTAGGTATGTTCCAAACACGACAAAGCATGAAAATATTTTCTATCATTTTAGACAGAAGATTTATCTTGGGTAAATACAAAACGAAAATCAAAACAACAACATCATGTTTCGTATGCTGATAGTACTTCTACTTTCCAAATGAAAGAAGACAATTCTTTAAAACATTGGCGTGAACGTATTAATGCTATTTTAACAAAAAATGTTTGTAAAAAAAAACAATTTCTTTTCTTAGTCTTTAAATAAAATTCTTTAATTTAGCATTCAGTTAATGATAAATATTCATATGTACCATCACGTGTCAATTCATTTGGTAATTTTGAATATCAACCAAACAAAATATTAACTTTACCAAGGAAAAACTTACGTAAAAAAATTTCTTCTGATTATCACATGGATAGCAAAGACAATAGATTGAAGAAAGTCAAAAGTCAACCTGAGAAAGAAATTGTTCAATTCAAAGTAATTGCATAAAATATAAAATATTTCGTTTTGCACTTTTTTTTCTAGGAAACGTCACCAGAAGTATTGGGACGACTTTGGCCACTAGGCGGTGGAAGACCAAAGATTTTTTCTGAAAAACTCAAATGGAATAGAAAGTCAAAGATTAGATCATATTCATTGGAAAATATTCAGCATAAGCCACAGCAAAGTTCTGTTAAAGTAAATATTCAAATATTTCTCGTTTTAAAATCAAATTTCAAAATATTTAGATTTTTAATAAAAAACCTAAATGGCACAGTGAATCTAGACTAGCTGAACTTATAAAAGTGAGTCCACGTCGTCCAATTTTCACGGAAAGGGTTTCAGTAAAACATGTGCCTGTTAACGAAGGATTATATATTCATCAAGAAGAATCTGAACTCGAAACGAAGGTAAATTCATTGCATTGATATGATGTCTGTTGGACGTTGAGGTAATAGGCTACTCATTTTTTTTATCTGTTATCACTGAAAATGCTTACTGATTTAAGTAAATGGTTTTATATTTTTTTTTTTGCATATAAGAGAGGTTTAAATTTGAATCGAATGTTGTTACATTACATCAAGACTATTTCGTATGATAAAAAAAGAAGTAATTATCAAAAGAAAAACAAAGAAGCAGTCAGACATGAAGCGAAAATATAAACAACAATGGAGACTAATAATAATAGACGAGAAAATGAATGTTCGATAAGGTATTTTTGCGGTTACATGAACGTAAAATTTACTATTCAGCGTTGTAGGATCTGAAAACAAGATTTTGCATCAGTTAAAGTAAAAATTCTAGCATACACTGATGAGATTCCATGACTTTGTTATGGTACTCTCGAATGATAAATCAATGGGTTAATATTTGATTTACATAACAAACTCGAATGTTATATAAATCTTTTCGTTTTGTTTCGATAATTCAAACAGCTGAATACAATCAGTCCGTTATTAAATAAAATAGTAAGCGAGGTTTTAGATAATATATACAGTGAAACCTCTATTAATGAACACCTCCCATTTGAACAGATGTTTCGGAAACCCCGATCGATTTCTGCTGTAAACGTACCTCTACAAGACGAGCATCTCCCAACTCTGAACATTGAACACTTTTTCAGTCATTTCTGTAGAAAAACACCTCTCTATAGTGAACATACACTGACCAATTACGCTTTCGTGTATGAAATAAGTAGATGAAAAAATAGATTGCACATAATAAAACAATGATAAATAAAATTTGGCCGGTCAATTCGTCATATCAAACTTTGTCGTATGTATGACACAAATAGAACAATGAAAATGAATAGTCCGCGATGAGTGAATCGATTCTGTGTGAGAGAATAACCACAATTACATTCACTGATTTCTCAATTAGATTCACAACTTACTCAACTTTTCATCGACTTAAAAGGAGTCAAGCAAGCAACCATTAAAGACTTTTTTCATAAAAAATGATTAGATGTAAATAAATAGATGACAACTTTGTTCATTTTTTTTGTTTAAAACTGAATAGATGTTTAATAGTTCAAATCAATAAAATAGTCTTTTCCTTTGTTACAAGATAAATAAAGAAGTATATACAGTAGATAATAACGATTGTTCATCTTAGAGAGGTTTCACTGTATGTATATACCAAATACTAATCAACTATTGCTACAGTTGAGGGCCTATGCGTATCCGAAAGTTCACTGACTCAAACTGCAATACTAACATCCACGGAATGGCCCTAGACGAACTATTAACGACTGCTGATCTTCTTTACCTAATCTGATAGTATTCAATTAATCTTTTTTTAAACCTATACATACTATTACAGTTAGCTAGTTGACATAGAGAGTTTAAAAGCTATAGATTACATTGGCTTTCGTTCCTTACTCTCATCCTAATCTTTTTCTTGATACAACAACAGACTAAGAAATCTGCTAACAGACATCTTTTTGTCATGTATCTTTAGGTAGCGAACAAACACAGAGATTTTTTTTTCTTCTATTTCTTTCAAATAATCGTCTCAGCAACATATTCATCGTCAAAGAATTGTGCCTGTAGGCATTCTTCAATTGATCACAAGGCCATGTGTTCATTTAAGAAAAGGTTTTATTGATCTTCTCTTCTAAGTATTATAATCGATTTGAAGTGGCGATTGGATTCTACGATGATGCACTAGAAGTAAAAATATTAATTGCTTTTTTATTAAATTAGATTTTCGATATAAATTTCAATGGTCAACCATTAATATCCGATATCCAGCAAAATTCTACCGATGACTTATCGTTCGATTACAAACAAAATCCTAAACTAGTAAGCATTGATTTATTAGATTTAATGAATAGTGTGCAAATTTTTCCTTTAGATTTTTCACAGAAAACTTGTATGGGGCAAAAAATCTAAATTAAAAGATTTAATATGGAAAAACAAAGATTATCAACCAAAACAATCTGAAGTTAAAGTAAATTATAAATCGATCAAATATTAAATTCTTTTCTATGATTCTTTAAGATTTTCCATCAAGCAATTCATTGGAATAGTGAATCAAAACTAAAAATAACTCATTCATTAAATTGGGGTACCCAACAAAACCTAAAGTACTGGTCGGCAATGAATCTACCTCGACTAACAGAAAAGAGAGCACTTTTTGCTGTAAGTATAAATAAATGATATGATCGAATCTGTTCGTAATTTGTTTTTAGCAATATTACGATTCGAAATGGAATGATGTTATCAAGGACCATACTGAAACACCGGTGAAAATTGGTCGTGTGATAGAAAAACCAAAATTACAAGATTATGTTGAAGAAAATTTCAATGACACGTTACAAAACGAAACACGAGCAGAGGTAATATAGTTGCTATGTATAATAAATGGCCTTTTTTCTTCATGCATGTTTTTACTTGTCGCATTTGTCACACGTTTTACTTCTCATTTTAATCAACAATCATATGAGTAGGTAAATAAATCGAGAGAGAAGAAAAAAGAGGGAGTGTTTGCATGTGTAGATATAAGAATAACAAGAAATCAAAGCTAGCAAATGTGTCAGAGAGAGAGAAAGATCAGGTACCTATAAGAGATGGATGAAAGTAGAGGCGTAATTTTCATTGTTATTGACAACTCACTCTTTCCTTTTCAATTGTATCTAAACAAAAAAAGTTTTTACTTCTTACAGTAAATGTATAGATGCTAAAGCAAAAACTGAAGGAAAAGGCAAAGCGAGAGAGAGAGAGAGAGAAAATATAACAAAACTTTTTTGACCTTCGTTCGTCGCTGGATTCTGTTCCATCACCTTTTTTCCTCGTCACTAGTCATCATCTTAATAAATTGAAATGAAAATCTCGTCTAAAATTCGAAGTATTCTTTTCGTTCGCCTTCTGTCAAAAACTAAATCGATATGTATATATTTATTTAACTACAAGTGTCGTGAAACAACCTAATTTGATAATCTATTTTTTTCAAGATAGAAGTTCTCAAACGTTAGATGATATTTGTTGCTTGGCATTGACCAGACATTTCATCGAGATTTTCTTATGATTACTATTGAGAATTTCTTTCTTTTACGATGAATATGAATTAGAGAAGGCTTTTTTTCTCAACAAAACGTATTAGCCTATCATAAGAAGACGAGAAAATGGCTTCTGACCTACGTTTCTCGACTGTTTTCTTATCGCAATTTCGACCTGTTAACGTAGGTTAGCAATTTTACAAATATGATTGATTTGAATTGTTTGTTTTAGTCCCCTGCTAATCGACCCAAGTGGAATGCTGTGAGTAAAACACGAAGTGTTAATTTAATTTATAATCCAAAAATATCCAACTCCAATTCGGTAGTTGTTTCTTTATGCTTAATTATTTTCTTTGCAGTATCTCTATTGTTTTGCTTTTTAAAGTTTCGAAGAGGTTGGGATCACGAACTTCGCCGAAAACGAGTTCATAGAGTAATAATGTTGTATCAATCTATTATTCATTGGATGAGTTTTATTTAATAGTTACCACCACTGAAACGAAAAAGAGATCTTGGTAAGTCAACACAATTGTCCATTGAAGGTCCACAATCAAACCATCAATTGGCCATTGAATATAATGATGATCAATCGTTGGCCACAGTAGATTTTCATAGGAAAAATAAAATGAAATATTAACTTTTATGATATTTGTCTTATAGGAACATATGGCAAATATCGATTATGCTGCAATCACATCAGGTCGATCGAGTAAAGCACTTGTTCCATTGCAGCATGTTCCTAATCTTGAAGTAAAATTTAAAAATTCATGCGTAAAATATTTATTGGATTTACTTGTTTGAAGCTATCCAATGAAACACCACGATCTCAACGGCCAATACAACAGGAATGGTATGATGAAGCGAGCAAATCTCGTTTGACTCATGTAAGCAAAAATTCATTTTTCGAATATTTTTATATTATATTTATTGTTTTCTTTTGATAGAGAACTGATATGGGGCGAATCACACATAATTCATTTCGAGATTCAGTTGTTTCTGTTCATCAAACAAATACGCCGCGAGAACTGCAAACATTTGTCAGTATTATCTACAACGAGTTTTTCTATTTCAAACTAAATCTTTTTTAAGCGTTCGTCAACACGGAATAGTCAAAATAGCGTAATGAGCGGCACATTACTTGATTCATCTATTAGAACTAATCGAGCAACCGAACTTCGTCTGTCAAGAGACATGGTATATCATTGAATTCGTTTCTTTTCTGCTGCTTTTGTTGTAAATATTTCAATATGAATTTCAGGATGAACATCATCAACATTCGCACGATCCAAGCCAATCAATGCCGATTGAAATTCGAGGTTTTCAATTGCAGGGTTCCCAATTAACTGTGCCTGATAATGCAACTATTCGTCCCTTATCAAACATAAGTTATCGAGCAAGTGAACGAGTAAAACATCGTCGTGTCTATCCATGGAGTACTTTACATCCAAATGGAACACCAAGTCGAAATAGTTCACTGTTGCCTATTGCTGAATATCGACATACATCATTTCAAACGTCTATTGTAGAAACGCCACCATTGATTCAAGAAGAATAACATAATCGTAAACTGTTTGAGCGATTTTTTTAATCACTTTCGTGAAAATCAGATTTATTTTGTTTTTTGTTGCATTGCAAATAAATGAATAAGCTTCATCTTTACAGTGTAACCTTCATTATACTGGGTGTGAGTGTGTGCCAGAGGTATGACAGTTCAGTGTTAGCTCGTATCAAAAGAACTGTTCAAGCAGGTCAGATCAGATCTAAAAAACAATTCTACCCCCTAGTATGAGCGAAAGTCGTGCGTTTATCCATGCACTAAGATCCACACCCAGACGCACAGTCCTTACTTCATAAATAAACATATATGTTGCCGGACAAAAATAGTATTTCAACAAATCCTAGATTTACTTTAACAATATTCGAATTGAAATTTTTCTAAATTGTATACAAACTTGAACCCAGGTGAATGAATCCGATACCGAATTCGATCGGATCTTATAAAACTCGACCAGCCTACAAAGTCCCTTGGGATTCCGGGTTAGAAAACTACGAACGGATCCCTAGTGTTGGAATTCCGTGAACATCCGGCCAAATCCAACAACCGAATTCGATACGAATTTCAGGAGTCGGATTCCAACAAGGTCCTAATACAATGCAACACAATTTTTCGAATACTGGGGATGTTACATCCCCGTTACCCCTCGATCGAGGCACCCTTGGGTAACTGATCAGAAATCAACTTCCGCTACTTTTTTTCAATGTTGATTTCTTTGTAGATTTAAATTTTATAAAATCCAATAAACATCTTTTCGAATTCCAGTGCGTATTGGTGATAAAGAAAATATGAACTAACTTTGCAACAGCACGTCATATATTACTGGCACTGTCAATCATACGTGAAAACTAAACAATAATGAAAGACTTATATATGATTGAGCCTACAGGCTCCACCTCCTATGAAGGCACTCACACCGTCTTCGTTCAAAAATGAAACCACGTCCTAAAATTAATCTACCACACACTTGATGATTGATAGTGTTGTTTACTGGCGACATCTATTTCTTTCATCTATACAATTGGCTGAGAAGATGACCATTGTTAATTATTTGCTTATTTTTTCTTTCTTTCTTGTGTCCTCTCTTTTTTTTTTATTAGAAACTTCAATTTGACAGCAGCGAACTTTCAACTATCATCTGTTTTTCCTAGTTTCTTTGTTTTTTTTCCATGAACGAACCATCATTACGTCGTTTAGAATTTGATCGCGAAAATATGCTTTATGAACTTTACATTTCTTCAAATGATTTATCTTTAATCGAATCAAAACGTCAAAATCAAAGCGATGATATTAGTTGGCTAATGGCGTTCGGCAGATATCTTAAAACCATACGAATGAATTCTCATCCAATATGTTCGAATCGTGGTCTCTATGAGTTTATTAAGCATCTATTGAATGAAAATCATCGAATGAATAGAGGATTACTTCTAATTCTTAAACAATGCGTTTTTCTCTATCCAGACAAACTTCTTGATTTATCGTTTCAACGACATTTAAAATGTGGATTATCGACTGTATTAGATGCTTATCTTAAATATAAATATGTTCGTCTATTACGGTTAATTATAAATGATATCGATGAAAATTTCCTAAATAAAATCTTTCCATCATCAGAAAATCTTCTTGAAAACTATCATCAATTGGATCCATCAATAATAATTATTCTAGAAAAAATTGTTTTAGTTCATTCAGATTCAAATCTTCAATTATCAATAAATCGAATATATAATAAAACATTAGTGGAATATTTAAAATCAAATGATTTTGACGATGATGAAATTATTGATTTATGTTATATTTTATTTCAAATAAATCTGAATAAAAATCTTCATTGTTTATTCAACATGTCAAATATATTTATTGACTTATTAAACTATATTGATTATGATACTGATACAATGATGAATTGGTTATTGACACCAGAAACGGGTGAAAAATTTTTAATATTTTTTCTTCGCTTAATTAAATACGTATCTTCCAATCGTGACGAATTAAAATCTCAAACAGAAGATACTCTGTATCATCGATTAATCATAACCATGAAGCGATTTCATGATCAACTAAAAAATGCATATGAAAAATCATTATTTCCTTATAATATAAAACCATTATTGAATGCATTTAATCTATTCTAGATATGGGACGTATTTTTCTTGAACATCTAGGTGGGCAACGTATATTTTCATGTGCTCATTGTGATACACCATTAACAAATCGTAACGAATTAGTTTCAACAAGATTCACAGGTTCAACTGGCCGAGCTTTTCTATTTAGCCGAATTGTTAATACAAAACAAAGTCTTGTACAAGAACGAGTAAAAATTCAATAGCTCTGTTTCTCTATATGATCTTGAAAAGATACTTATTTTCGTTTGAATAGATGATGTTAACTGGTCGACATTTCGTTCGTGATATCAGCTGTAAAAAATGTGATACTAAACTAGGTTGGATGTATGAATTCGCTACTGAAGATTCACAACGTTATAAAGAAGGACGAGTCATTCTTGAACGTGCATTGATTAACGAAACTGTTGGATTTTAGATGAAAGAACTCGTTAAGACTTTATCTTCTTTTCTTTGTTTTCTTTTCAAAATAACGAAATAAACTCTATAGGAATTTATCGTTTTCTTGTCTACTTCTAGATGATAGTTGATTATTAAGACATGCAATGGTCGCGATTAAGGAGAAGCTAAAAATTGAAATTGTTGAACATAATAATGAAGTAAGATTAAATGAATGTTCACAATTTGATGATCGGTTATTTCTATTGTAGGTTCTTCCAATATTAATTCGTGATATTGGGGTAAATTTAAGATCAGGAGAAGATGTTGCATTAGTTAGATTTGATAGTTATGCAGATTTACTAGCACCAAAAGACGTGAAAGCTGATGAAATCGGAACACTAAATCATCTTGTAGAGTATGTCAAAATAAAGACATTTCTTTTAACACAGAGATGTTCAACGAATACCCTTTTGACTTCTCTAGTTCGATTACGAATCAATCATGGATACTTCCAGCTGTTTATCGAGGTTATATAACAAAAATATTTTGGTTTAAACCACCTTGGGCTCATCAATTTCAAGATGGAAAATATCCATTGCAAGTTGGCAAATGTCAACAAACTGGAGTATTAAAGTATGTCTATTTATTTATTGTAATAATTAGAAGAAATCCAGAGAAACTGCTTTATGATTGCGAATATCCATCTAGAAAAAAATAATTTAACGCGTTTCTGAATAGAATTCAACCGGTAAGAGTAACTACGAACGTGATCTTCATGTCTTGCATGAAAGAAGGTTTATGCTAATTGTAGTGATAGGTGACATCGTAATATTTATGAATGGCAGTGAGTTTAACCACTTGAAAACATAGTTTTCGTTTGGTTTTGTTTAGCGAACAGAGAAAAATATATTATCAGTTAAAATTTGTAAGGCTTTCTTGTTCAATCAAAACGATATTATTGTACTGCTTTTTCTTAGTGTGTAAATACACTATCATTTAAACTACGGAGTAATTTTTTCTTCGGATGCCAACGCTTTATTTTTTAAGCTGCGTCGTGATTTCTTTGCAGCATCTGATTTGGATGATTGCCTTCAGCATGTTTTATTCAGTCCACAAATAAATAAAAATCGTCCACAAAGTCGCAAAGAAAATTTTCAGGGAGAAAGCTATAACGTAAAAAAATTGAGCTAGGAAAAATCCCCTCGCTCATCGTAAACTATGCTTGAAAAAACAACTTTTATTTGTATTTTTACCAAGCAACACATTCAAGTTAAACGATCGCTACAATAATCAATAACAGCTGATTGCTACTAGTGGAAACGCCTGCCTAAGATTGATTTTCTCATCGGCACTACTATCTCCACCTCGATGCACATTATATTCTTTATAGATAACTAAAACGTATTAACCACATGCATTGTACTTAAATTTCACCAGATGAAATGATAGCAATAGTATTGAACTGGCACAACTTATCAGATAGAAAAAACACCCTTATTTATTAGTTAGTAGATCGGCGAGATATTATTCTTTCGACGCTGATTTTATTTGTAAACAAGATATTAATTCACTTGATTAATATTTACAGAGGTGTTTGCACATTGTTAGTTGAAACTTTGCTATCAATATAGTATAGAAAATCGTCTTGAATATAAACCTTCGTAATTTTCAGAGTGACTTCAACGAACCCATATTTTACTTCCAATTGTGTTTATGCATCAATGGATAAACTTTCAAATATGCATACAGTTGATGTATACGTATCTACAACTGGCCTAGCAAAAAACTATTCAACAATCATAGAAAAATCTCATCCATCAATTTACGATAATGAAAGTGGCAGTGAAAGTCTTGATGCTGATAATCGAAAAAAACCAAAATTATCCAATGACAATAACCATGAAGATAGTTCAACGGTACAACGAGTATATCCACTTGATGCAACACTTATTGATCAATTACTTGAAACAAGACAATTTATCATGGATATTAATTTATCATTTTTTTCCACCGACGATTATATTCGTAAACAATTAGATGAAAATGAATATGAAATTCTTCGTTATGTTTATACACGTATTGTACAAGATCGTACGGATACTGAAATTCAACGATATATAACAGCACGTGAAAGTGCATTAGAACAGATTCGTACGTGTATGGATGAATATTTAACTGAACCAAAGCTCGATCAGCCAATACTTATTGAGTAAATTGTTTTGTTTTTCAGTTAAAATGTAAACGACAATGAGTTCATTTATTCTATTTTTAGTAATCCATATTTATCAGCATTGATCTCAATTATACGTTTAAAAAAATTAGATTGGAAACTAATTCATAGTTATGGCATGCATCTGTCAGATACAAGACCGCCATTACATGTTTCATCAGAAGAAATGGTTATTTATTTACATGAAGCTATGGCAAAAGTTTTACAATCAATTAAAAAAAACCCTATTCTCATTACTATTTCAAGGTAAATTATGATTGTATAATATCAAAATCTTCTAGAGTGAATACCAGAAGTTTTCAATTATAATGATCAGATTAAATGAAAGCATCAATATATCATTGCCATTTCGATATACCAATATTCTTTGAAAAAAATATAAAAACTATGCTTTGCAAAAAAAAACAGTCAGGCTACAAAAATTAATTAACTGAAATTATTCTTGAATTTAAAACGGAATTCATTTTATTCATTGCTAAGGAGTATCGACTAGCAAAGCGAGAAAGTCTTCTGTAACTGAATAAGAATTTCACCATACATATATGCACTATTAAATGTCGTAGTGAAATTGCTGAGAACTTTTTATGCAGTATTTACAGTGATGGAAGTCTACTGGATGAGTGTGTGTTCATTTTTTTTGTCTTGTATACATTTAGATGCGTTGATGATGGTTATTGTTCATCGGATCAAGCTGATTTAATTCAAAGATATGTTGAAAAAAAACTTCGAAAACTATATAAAATCGATGAAACTGTAGGGAAAAGTTTATTAACGAATGATGATAATGATGATGAATTCGATGAAGATGTTATTAAGGATAGAAAGTCGTTGGTTATATCCGATGATGAAAATAGTGGTTTATCAACAAATGGTAGAACCAATCGGCCACTCCTTAAAAATGAAAAATCTCTCACAAATGAAACTACGAGTTCTGGTAAACATATATCATTACACAATGATAATAATGCTGCGCTTTCGCCATCTATAAGCACACATAGTAGACATTTATCTTCACTATCTATCCCATCGCCGACAAAAGGTAATTCATCACCAGGTGAATTAACAAAAGCAATGTCGCCATCGTCACTTTCTGAAGCATCTCCTATATTAGATTAGTTCTATTTCTTTTCTTTTCTTTTTGTTGTTATTATCGTCTTGTATATATTATACATTATATTGTCAAACGAGAAAATACAAGTTAAAACTTAGAGATTAACTCTGATTGTATGCGTATTATTCCTGTTGTTGTTAGTGAGTCGATGTTAAGTCAAAAAAACATTTTTCTTTTGCAGTTTTCTTTCTTTTGTTTGAATGATATTGTTTATTATATATTGTGGTTTGCAAATAAAAGATACTTGACGTGGTATTGATTTCATTCTCATTTAATCATTTAGTGAATTAAATTGAGAGAAAACTTTTGCTGTCTGGATTATTAAAGAAGCGATAGGACGATCTTGCTGATCAGGATATTTAACATTTTTGATTGCTAATAACTAAATGATGGGTGTGGATGAACGAAAAAATGGTACACCACACCCTCAAACATGCATTTTTTCGTTGAATGAATCTACTTTATGCAATGTATTTTACCATTTTTATAATTGCCAATATATTTCTATTTTTGAATAAATATTTTTACATAAGAAAAAAAAATTCAATTAACATCTATTGTCGGTCGTTCTCTTGGTATAATTCCATAGTAATTTGCATGTGAAAGCGGACATCCATCTCCTGAGTATCCACCAGTTCCCCACCATGTTGGAAATTCTATTTTATTATTTTGTAATATAAAAAAGATAATTATAACACCAACGGCAACACCACTATCCATAGCAGCCGAGAATACATATGCATATCGTTTCCACCATGTATGCGCATAACGAGCAAGAATAAAATTAAATATAAAACCAACTAATAACCATGACGGATAATTGCCCGGTGGAGCAGGCGGCATTATAGCTGTAGCTGATAACATAATAGGAAAGTGAATATGTTTAAGCCATTTTATATTTGGATATTTTTTCGTTAGACTCCATGTTATTATTGGAAGAATAGCGCCGATAAGAAAACCGTAAAGAAGATATGAGTAAATCGATCCTTTACCGAACATTTTTATTGGACCTAAAAGAATATATAATTCTGACTTATTCATTCGAATGAATGACTTAAATTTTCCTTACCAATAGCTCCCCAAATAATTGATGCACTAAAAAATGTATTTGCATTTGGACATGTCCAACGTGGATTTTCTCGAGTACAAATATGCGGAATACTGTTCATCAGGTAATTAGCTGTAAGAAAATTTACAATGCCTGCAAGAATTGTACCTATCAATTGAGTAATAAACATTGCACGTGGAGGAATCTAAACGAAATCATCTCAATGAAAAAGTTCAATGACTAGCTAGAAATATTACTTTCATATAATGACCTAATTTTAAATCAGAAATAAGTAATAACGCCTGATATTGAGTAATATATCCATAGGTTTTGAATGTAACATTTGCTAATGGATCGCCGGGTATCACAATACCAGCTACAAATTCAGTGATAACATTCAGGCCTTAAAAAACGAAGAATTGTTTTCTTAGTAAAAGAAAATTCTTCTTTTGCTCCTACCAATCGATTGATTTGTTACAGCTTGAACAATACCCGTTGGTAAGAGAAAAATAAATGCAATAGAAACAGCAACTAAAATAGAATCCATAAAATTTCTCACATGTTCAACATGTCAACTGACCAAAAAGATAATGCCATGGCATTAATTCACCATAATAACAAACAATAGCTGCCAAAATAAATGCCAAAATAAACAAAGTAGTATACCTAAATATTCAATAAATCATATTGAATAAATAATTTAAAATACATACCACCATTCTGGAGCTTCTGGATAACGAGACATTAATTTAGCATGTACATCACCAATATTGTCTTTTAAAGATGATCGAAATTGTTTTACGATTGTTTTACCTTTAGATTTTTGATAATATATAAGTGTTCATATGAAATATTATCCTTTTAAAATCAATTTCCTACCTTGATAGAGTACAGTATGAACAATAACTGCAGCTATTGCAGCAAATGAGATAGCATAGGAAAATGCAAAAATTGGTGTCATTCGAATTTCACCTAAACATAACACATATAAATTAATATAGACTATACAATTATTTTCATATATTTTGGAGTTTCTGAGAATCGAGCTCATAGAATATGAACTGTTCATGAGATTAGCTAGTATAGAAAACATCTAATCATTACCATATTGTTTATAAGCAGTTTCATTTAAACGCAACTTCGAATTAAGTACAGCCGAAACATTATAAATATATCCATCGGCAGTAAATACTCGATTACTGACAATAGGCAAAACTCTCGAATTCCATAGATTGCTATAATATGTTATCGGTGTTATTATCCATGCTAAAGTGACAAAACCAATAAGAATATTAATTTGAGCCCTAGATTAAATACTTCAATATGTGTGCGTCATAAAATATTTGTTGCATACCAAAATGGTACAACAATAGGTGAGCCCAAAAATGATACCCATGCATTCCAATCCAATTCAATCGAACCAATGCCTAATCCATTAATACCAGTCAGCTGTGAAAGAATAACATTCTCAGGTTTAATCATACAAATCCACGAGAAAAGTGATAGAACAGGAAAAATGTATCCAGGAAACCAATACCATAAAAATTGACAAAGAAATGCTAGGAAGAAAAATCTCAAACGCGATAGTGTCCAACGTGATTCTTTATCGTTATCTTTATCGTCGTGTAAAGTACGGAAAAGTGCACAATTAACAAGATTTGTTGGCCAGATCATAGCTCCTGGCCAAACAAGAAATTTTCTCATAATACCAGCCATTCCATAGCCCAGAATTTGTGACGTTATAACAAAAAGAATTCCAATACCAGTATGTATTGTTCGCTTATAAAATAACCGTTGAATGGTAATGACATCAATAGCATAAGCTGTACCCTATTGCAATAAAATAGAACCATTGTTTTCATTTTTGCCAAAATTTTATTTCTAAATAACTCACACATGCAGTACTAGCCATTGTTGTTATAATACAATGTTCTTTAACAGTAAATGGACCTGGATTAAGAGTAAAATTCCATCGGAAAATTTTAAAATTTCTACACGGTAATACTTTTGCCATGAGTTTACCAAGTAGATGCGAAAGTAATTGAGCAACAAGAACGCCAATAGTTAATGGTGATGTTCTATATGCAAAAAATTGATTAACAAACGATAGAAGACAAGTAAATGTTAATCCAAGAAACCATGAACGAAATGTTAAAACCAACATAGTTGAATCATCTTTATTTGAAACATTCGCAGCTACTTCTTCATATGATGATTGTTGCGTGCTGTTGTCGTCAAATCGTTCTAAAGAATCGTATGGTTGATCAATGTCAACTGTTATACTATCTTTACGAAATGATACACGTAAATTATTGATATGATTTGTAAAACTATTAAATTGTTTTACATCAACATTAACATCTTCCGTTAAAAATGCTGGATTGTCTTGACCATATATTGAAATGTTATCGACGTTTTCCGTGTTAGATGTTGGTGTTGATGTATTTGCCATTTTAAGTAATTTATCAAATATTTCGTCTATCAATAGAATAGTAAATGGTATTTTATTGATATAAATCTTCAAGTGTTTTTCTTTACTCTATCATAACAATGGCATCAATGAAAGAATTTTTATGTCGCAAATATCTATTTTTATCACATGCAAAGTTCAAGACTAGATTTAACAGTTCACACTATAAAATTAATAAAAAAATTTACGAACAACTGATCATCAAGGGGTCGCTATTATCAGAAAGAGTCTATTGTTGTTGCATTTGTCGATGGGAAAATGCAAAATGTCGTTCGATTTTACTCAAAAGCAAAAACGAAACTCAGTCAAAATACTTGCGAATATCAATCTTCGCGCATTTACAGTGTTAAAGAGGCTTAAATCGACAAATCGCGTTGGAATTAGAGAACCACAAATACAACGTATCGATTCGACATGTTTTCATCGTTAAAAATAGTAAAATACAATTTGATCTAACGTGCATGATTTACTATAGCAAGCTTGGTAAAAAGTAAATTTGTGTTTTTGAAAGCACTTATAAAATGTGTTATATACGAACTCGATCAGTACCGATCCATTTATGGCAATGAAAAGAAAATATTCCATGTGGTTTAATCAAGAAAATGTGAAAATAGATAAACCCGTCAACTCGTATGATATAGAACAAGCAAAAAGACAAAAAACAAGACACAGAAAAAAAAAGAAACTTGTTCTATAAACTGAGTGATGCCGTCGAGCAACATATAAGACCCGAGGGTGAGTGAAGAATGACGACAGAACTGTGAGAAAAAAAATGAATAGACATCGAGTGCTAGCTCAGAGTATTGCATCATGCCATCGATGGAAATGAATGAAGAACCAACGAACAATAGCGCTCGACTACAATAGTATCCTTCAATAGATTAAATTTTTTACCAAACTCATGCTCGATAAGTGTTCATTCAGTCCATAAAGCATTATATCGAACTTCATATTTCTAGATCTATGATTACATGCCGATGTTTGAGTGCAATCATCAAATGATAAAATCAATTATTATTTTCTGCATTGACTCGTATTTTGCTTATACATTTACTATAATAAAAGCCGTTCAAAAAAAGATGAATGAGATATTCTTTGGTAATAAACTTTTAATAGTCTTTTGGGGAAAACTATCGATATGGAAATTTTTTAGTGCAAGACTGTTGAGTCTAATTTTTAACAAGAAAATATTCATTCTTATTATTTTAGTTCGAAGATATTGCCTTGTTAAATGTTGATCAATATGAATTAAGATCTAAAAATACGCATAGACAGACAGAATAACTTTAACTGAATGATTTAAATCTGCTATTTTCAGTCACGACCTGTTTATATCACCTTCGTCATGTTTCTCTTTTCATACGTTTACTCATTCTAATATGACTACCGACGTACAAATAACATGGATTATTTACAATTTATTGTCGTCAATGGAAATGTTTGATTTATTTAAAAAAGGTTTCCTGCTGAAATCTTATCTTTTTTTTTTTATTGACCTTGATAGTATGGACTCGATTTATTTTTCTAATCAATACTACATAAATAAAAACAAAATTTTTTGAATTTAAAAATGAAAATGATAAAACTCTTTGTATTTTTACTCTTTTTCGTCATAAAAGTAAATTCAATGCATCGATTTTTCTTCTTCTCTCTCTCTCTCTCTCTCTCTCTCCTATCGTATACAGAAAAGAAAAAAAAACACATAAAATTCTAGATTCTTCAAGTTGCTCATTCAAATACGTACAAGTGATCAGCAGAAAGAAATATACATTTTTCAATTACGCATCTCCTATGTAAGATGTTGACAACCTCAACCAATAATTCTCTTTGTCCTACTTGTTCGAATGCCCTTGGATTATTAGAAAAAGTTCATTTCGCTCGTAAAGTAAGTAGTAAAATAAAGAGATAAAAATTTTGATAGAGAGAGAATACTGAACGAATCTTCTAAGTCAAGTCTTTATTTTTAATAATGAAATAAATAGGACTGATATTTATGCATTTCATAATAGATATGGCATAAAACATGTTTTCGTTGTAAAACTTGTTATACACAGTTAAATGTAGATACTGTAAAAATGCGAGATGATGAAAATCATACTCTCTATTGTGTTCGGTAAGTAAGACAAAAAAAAAGGAACTATCGGATAAAAATCTCATATTGATATTTAGACACTATCCGGATGATGATTCCGTTTCAATGAGTAGTGATAATTCTATACTTATATCTTCATTTGAACAGAAACCATCATCCACAGAACATTCCGATCTTGATTATCCATCTAATTGGAATGTTGATGATGTCACAAAATGGTTAGGAGATATATCATTACAACAATATGGTGATAATTTCCGAAAAAATGATATTGATGGTTCAGTGTTAATCGATGACGTCGACGGTATTAATGATGATACTATTAAACAATTAATTCCATCATTAGGTACTCAATTAAAATTTAAAAAAGCATTAAGAACATTGCGAAGGTAGATTCAATGATAAGAAAATTTCGTCTTTTTTCTTCGGTCTTTTTTTTTCTCTCAATATTACTTAGTCGTGCTCATACTCAGTCGAGACCAGGTAGTGCACTTAGTGTGGCGAAACAAGAATCGGAAGAACATCGTAAACTTCTACAAACCATTCAACAACAAGCAGAACAAATTACTTCACTTGTTTCAACAGTTAACACTCAGGTTTATATCGATTAGTTGATCGAAATAGAATCATATTGATAGTTACTCTATTATTAGGCTAAACAAATAGAACAATTCGTAATAAAACTAGCTGCCACACCAAAACCACCGCCGCCAGTTGATGCATTTAGTAAATCATCATTAACGGTTCAAAATCAATTACTTGATCTGCCACCAAATATGTCAAAAATAGCACTAGCATCAGCTGATACTCCAGCATCGGATATACCAGCTATTGATCCTGTATCACCTTCTGTATTACCATTACCAGCGAATAGTTATACTTCATCAACAACAGCTCCGGTTCCAACAGCAATTCAAGGTCCACAAGGATCCAGTGGTGTTACATTTCCGGCTGTTGTTCATCCAAATATTGATGGCATTGCTATAAAACCCGTTTTGGATGATATCTATAACTTTCAGAATTATGGTAAATATGGTGTAACAATCTTCGATCAAAATTCGGAAAATATACTTGTACAAACATTAGTTAATGTTGTACCAGAAAATGAAATATGTATGCCGAAAAAATTTGTTCTACGAGATTCAGTTAATAACATTCTTGTTGGTGCTTCGGTTAAATTAAAATTACACGATCAAGTTGTTTTTACTGGTTCAACAGATTCTACTGGAACAGTTATTATGCCAACAACATTACAGAAAAATTGTTACGATGTTGAAATTCATGCGAGTGATGCTCAACATAAACCATCGGTATTTCGTATGATTGTTTATGAAAATCGTGGTTCTGAAATTAGTACGCAATTTATTTGTCGACAATTAGATAGCGACCAACTTGAAATTGTTCTTAAATGGGGTACAATACCACGTGATCTTGATTCACATTTACATATTTCTGATGGAAGACATGTTTATTATGAATCGAAAATCGAAGAAAATGTTTCACTCGATTGTGATGTTACAAATGGAAATGGACCTGAAACAATTAAGATACGTCTTGAGCCCGGCTTAAAATATCTTTATGTTGTTCATCGATATTCACGTGATGGATATTTAACAAAATCAGGTGCAACAGTTACATTTAATAATAGTGCTATAACAAATTCCAATAGTCCCTATCAAGTTGTTCAAATACCTGTTGTCAATCGACCGAATGCTAATTTTTGGATTGTTTGCGAAATTGATGGAACAACAAAAAATATTCGAATGTTTGAAAATGCTTTTGAAAATCATAATAATTATGCATCGGATGAAATTGGAAAAAAATATTTGAAATAAGCTTCTTTTTTTTTATTATATTGCACATAAAATTTCTTAATGAATAAATAAAAAAAAACGTTTTATAAGAGTAAAAAAAGATCGAAGATGATAAACGACATTAAGGAAACAGACCAAAGACGATGTATTGTTTAATTGTGAGTAATATAAATTTTTTATTGCATGACAAATACAGTATTTTACATGTTAGACAATTTTATTATTACTGAAAGATAAACAACATTCAAGTTTTTCTCCGGTAAACTAAGCTGAAAATCTTCATAATTTCTTTTTAGAAATTTATCTTGAAAATAGAGCACATTTTTTTATTTTTCATACTTTCAACAAAATTTTATAATCGTTAAAAGATTACACAATAAAGATTAGGTGACATCTATGTTAAGCATTTAATTCATCCGTTGCTATGTAATGTTTAATGCGCATTGTCAAGGTGAATGGTAAAGATAAAAAAACTTTACATTTCGAATTTTTCATTTTCGTTTCATTTCTTTGTTAACGACCATGCCATCAAAAGCAGCTCCCGAAAAAAAACAAGTATTTGTTGTATCCTAGTCGATTTGTACTAAATTAGTTTCTAATTCAAGACTCATCCAGCTGTTGGTGCAGCACCAATTCAGCGACGACTGAGTCAATCGCATCGTGGCTCAGTTACAGATGCTCGAGTAGGATAATCAATTTATTAATTAACTATTAGAATAATTGCTTATATAGGATGATGATCAAGAATTAGGCAATATGCCAACAAATTATATGGGTGAAGTAAGTTACCTATGGAGAGTAAATCTTGAAACGTGTTTTTATATAAAATTATTTTTATTAGCATAATTTTTTCGGTCGTCAAGAGGATCAATTAAAATTAACCGATGCTGTATGCTACTTTTCACTTGAACACACATATACTTATTTAAAACATAATTGCAATTATTTGTAGGAACTAAATGAAGAACATACTCGAATTCTTACTGCGCGTAATCCTCAAGCAGCTGAAAATATTGTTCGCTTTAGTCATAAAGTAAATTGAATTAAAACGATAACAAGACTTATAAATCTTATTATTAAGGAACGGATGTTTAAACTTATTCCACATGTTGATCAGTTAGCTGTTCATTTTCAACTTGATAGTCATCTTGTTCATAAAGAATCGGAAGAAGGAAAACGACAATTAATGCTTGATAGCGAAGGTAATTTTATAGAATTGCAAACATTAAATTTCACTTTTCTTTTTTTCAGATGTTAAAATTCAAGAAGTTGAAGTAACAACATCAGCAGCTGGTCCAGATGGAGTTAGTTAAATAGCAAAAATATTTATTAAATTAAATATTTATTTTCATTTAGGAAACATCAAAAGAAGGAGACGAAGACGATGACGAAAAAGCAAAGAAAATAACAGCTTCATCTGGTAAATCAAAAAAGTTGACCAATCAATTTAACTTTAGCGAGCGAGCATCTCAAACATATAACAATCCATCACGGGTATGTCCTTATACGATGCCTACAGTTCGAAATTTGATTAATAGTTCTTGTTTCCGTCATGATTAAACAGAGCTAGTTGAATTACTTATCAGCATCTTCTTTTTTCTCCTCTATGTAAACCATACTGTCGAGGTAAAATCTGAAGACCGAGCCTTGATCTACAATTAATTATCTATAAATTTGACTTATCATATGGAACGAAGCGATTCAAGATGAAAATTCAAATAAATTTTAAGAGTAATTTCATTACAAACTAGATCTTAACACTGAGCCATCATTTCAATATGTAACAAGCAATATGTCTATTAAATCGATAGTAAAATCATGACACAAGAAAAAAAAAGCTTCATTTAATTTCGAATGTCAGACATCTTACGAATGAAAATATTATTTATGAGCGTTTTTCTTATGTTTAGGATCGTGAAACATTTGTTGAGCAAACACCACGCGCTAGCTTTGCTGATAATGTATCCCAATGGTCAATATCGGATGCATACAATGAAGATTTTGAACATCAAGTAAACATCGGCTTTTTTGTTCAATTAAAAGAATACGCAAAATATATTTGTTTGAAATTTTTAGCAAAAAGCCAAAGAAAAAGAACAAAAAAAACTCGTAGTAAAAAAGGAAGATGATCGAAAGAAAAAATTTGTTGCTGTTGATCAACACGTAAAACTAGAAAATGCAATTCTTCTAAACAATATCGTTGTTGGCTTTTTGTTCATATAGGGTGTTGATGATATAACAAAATTGTCTCGATCGAAATCGGCAAGTTTATCATTGAAAATCGTCGAGCGAATGATTAATCAAAATACATTCGATGCTATCGCTCAAGGTATGCTTTTATTCATTTCATCAAAGACCATCGTTTAACATATATATATATATATGTATAATCTAGACTTTAAATATTGGGAAGATGCTGCTGATGAATATCGTGAACAAGGCGGAAGTCTTTTGCCATTATGGCTATTTCAATACGATATGGTAAAAAAACTTGCCTGTACAAATTTGACTTGGAATTCACATTATAACGATTTATTTGCTGTTGCTTTTGGTTCATGTATGCTAGTTGCTGATTGAATTCTGTATACATCAAAATTTTTGTTTTCCAACAGATGACTTTCTCAAACAAAGTCGTGGCATGTTTGTTATCTATTCATTGAAAAATCCAAGTTTTCCAGAAAACATTTTCCCGACTGATAGTGGAGTTATGAGTTTGGATTTTCATCCACATTATTCCAATCTGCTATGCTGTGGTAAGTTTTGTTTTTGCATATATTAGAAATAATTATTTATTTCAATCATTGATTTTATTGCATAAAGATTTCTTAGGATATTTGATTAACCGTATTTGAGAAGTTTAGTATATCGAGGTAATGAGTGATGCTACAAAATGGGAGCTAGATGAAAGTTCGCTTCTTCTACTAGTGTTGATGTTCTATTTTTTTTAACTGGGTTATATCTTATAAATTTATTTAGATTTAGCAACTATTAAAAGGCAACTCAATGAATTGTTTGTGAAAATTTGATGCATACTGATCCAAGAATAAACTTAATACGCTCGGACGAGTTTTGAAAGGAAATTTTAATTTTACATTGAATAGAGAATGCTTTCAATTGCTCTCGAATGTAATCTTACTAATCAATAAAAAAAAACGAATTTCATGGAAGCCTATTCAATACACAGAACAACTCAAGAGTAGAAGATAAAGTTTATTTTAATTTATTTGTCTTTTATGCAAGAGTATCAAAGTATAGTTTAGAGAATCAATAAAATTCTCTATACGATGAACTGTATATATACTGTGGTGTTAGCATTTTTTTTACAGTTTTCTCTAAATAGAAGTGATAAACTGGCCAATGTTGCAGTGAAGTTGAGATTCTATTAGAGTAGGTGCTATGAAGTAGCTCGAGTTCTGCCAAATATTGCTAGGGCGCATACTAATTATATTAAATAAGAAACATATGACAAACGTCATTTAGCTCGTGAGTAATTTTATTTTCAGGTTTTTATGACGGTTCAGTCGCTGTTTATAATATTGCCGATGAAAATAAACAACCAAAATATCATAGCACGTCTCGTAATGGCAAACATACAGATCCTGTTTGGCAAGTACGAAGAAGAATTATTTCTCTTTTTCTTCGAAAACAAAACATTAATTTATAATCATCTTCGTATTTGAGGTCTCCTGGCAAAAAGATGATTTAGATAATAATCTTAATTTCTTTTCGGTTTCATCCGATGGTCGTGTTGTCTGTTGGACATTAATTAAAGTATGAGTTAACGAATAAAAAATGTATCCTTCAACCAACATGTTATCTAATTTAGAATGATCTTACGTATACAGACGTTGTTCAATTAAAATTAGAGAAACCTGCAAATCAAACAGAAGAGGGTTTTCCATTAATTTCATTAGGTAATTATTTCAGCTGGAAACTTAATTTTAGTTTATGCTGTTTTGGTGTTTTGAAGGATGCGGAACCTGTTTTGATTTTAATATACAACAAGATTATTTATTTATTGTTGGCACAGAAGAAGGGAAAATACAGAAATGTTCAAAATCTTACAACAATCAATTTCTGGATACATTTGATGCTCATCATATGGCTGTTTATGCTGTACGTTGGAATAAATTTCATCCAAAAGTTTTCGCTAGTTGCTCAGCTGATTGGAGTGTCAAAATTTGGGATATTAACTATCAGTAAACTTAAAACTATTCTTCGTTATTTTCTATGCATGACAAATCATTTCCGTTTTTCTTTTAGAGAGCCATTATTTGTCTATGATCTTGGCAGTCCTGTTGGTGATGTTGTTTGGGCACCTTATTCGTCAACTGTATTTGCTGCATGCACAGCCGATGGAAAAGTCTACGTGTTTGATTTAAATGTGAATAAATATGAACCACTTTGTGAACAAATGGTCGTACAAAAGAAACGTACAAAATTAACACATATTACATTTAATCAACATTATCCTATTTTACTTGCTGGTGACGATCGAGGAAATGTAACATCATTGAAACTTTCACCAAACTTACGCAAAAGACCTAAAGCTAAGAAAGGTCAAGAAATAATTGATGGACCAGAAGCTGAAATTGCAAAATTAGAGAAAATTCTTTCGCTTATTCGCGATCCGGATGATGTTCGAAATAAATCAACAGCACAGCAAGGTGCAACAACTGCAGTATCAGGAGCGAATTAACTACATTGTCTTTAGTTACCATTAAGAAAAAAAAATTCATAAGATGTTCTTTTTCTTCGTTTTGAATTTATACATTTTAACATAAAAATTTGACATATTGTAATGAAATTTATAGAATTTTTACGAAGGAATTCGATAAAACTAATTACTGCTTCCATTCGATGTGGAGTGTTTAATGCGCAGAAGGTTATGCAAGTAGTGCCAATTGACATGGATCGATTTCTGATCAAAACTGAGACAACATTGGTGTGTATTGTTCTAATATATGCGGTAAACTTCTGTTTGAAAAGAAACGCTTCGAACCTTGAAAAATATCCGAAGGTGTAAAAATATTTTCCTGGTGATCATCTTCATCGTACTCGCTTTATTTTCATGAATATAAATATTGCAATACGATTCCTACGACTTACTGATTTCATGATATACGATCTTAAAAGAATGTTACAATATAGACGCTAAATATTTTAGAGATCTCACGTGCTCTGATAGTCACTATTCATAAATGATCACAGGTCATACTCACAGTCTTCTATTCGTCCACTTGCTTTATTTCAATATATGATATGTGAAAAATCACTTGAATTCTATTTTCTCGTTGTAAAAGTCTTGACTCAACCATATTCACACGTTTATTTTGATACGTCTGTCTATATTTCATGAATTTTTGTTGCCAGCGCAATTACGGGTAAAAACTATATCTCTAATTGGTTACGACTAGATTTTTGAAGCTTCAATGTTTACTAAAAACGAATCCCTTTTGGTATGCATCTTCAGATTTATTTTGGGATTTTCGATCAACAGAGTTTTCAAGTAAACAAGTGAAATCAGACAACTGATGATAAGTTGCATGTATATTTTGACTTAAAATACTATCTTATTCTTCAGAAACTTGATGTCTCAAGTTGAAATTATACATTCAGAGCTTGTTTTACTTACCTTCACTTTGAATTTTACAAAAAAATTATCATTCAAACAACATTTTTTAGTGCAAACATTAAACGTCAACTGGAAGTTATTTGTCAAAACATACACCTGACAATTTAATTGATCAAAAAAAAAGTAGTCAAGACGTAGCGAGAAATAGAATAGAACTGTTTTTGTTTTGTGTCATGCGAAGACACTTTCCAGGATAGATAAACTTCTACGAATGGAAACGACATCTGCATGTAACAAAGTCATCATTATTTTTTACAGCAATCCATTGTTTCGATTAGAATTTGTGACAGAAAATACACCGAATGCATAAATGATATTAAACGTTTTCATGATGATCGCAAAATATTGTTATTCTGAACGATGAAAATGCTGCTTTTTTTATGGCTAAAAGAATAACGTCACGATTGAAGTTATTGACTACAAGGTAACTTAAAATTAAAGTGTGAATGAAATAGTTCGGCTTTTCTATTCGTGATTTAATAGGCGATACTTTCGAAAAACTGCTGTCTCAATTAACGTGTCATGTCTTACAGTATATAAAATAATGATTGCTTTTCTTCACGTATAAATCAAAGTAGTCGATTTATTACATTGGTCGATGGTTCATAGAGCAATCTGGAAAAAAATGAATAGTTCAGACCTCGATTTTAATCGCGAAATTTTATATGAGAACAGTTTTTTTTAACATGGTACGTTCATATTATTACATAAAACTTGATTTTCTAGCAAAAAAAAGCGTTTACACAGCTAGAAGAAACAAATGTCATTCATTAGTCATGGAATATTAATTTTTGTAATTACTAAATATTTATCGTAAAAAAAAAAGAAATATGATGTAAGTCAAGAACTTTAACGTTCTTCTCTAAATCAACGCTTTTATTTATTTATGTTCGTATTAAATGTTTGATTATTAAAATACATAAAGATTCATCGTAGTTTTATATACTTATATATATGCATTCTGTGTACCTTGCTTTTAGCAGTGTTTAATAAACGATTAAAATGACTATATGAAATCGAGTAGAGACAAAATGAACTATTATACATGTTATAGTTAAAAGTCTTCTGATTCAATACGATTACGTTCGCGTGCATTAAATATACGCAGTTTTTTCATATATGCCATCATCAAACTCTACAAGCAACGATTGATGACCTTTTGTCTCGTCTCTTCATTCTTTACCATCACTTTTGCTCGTTCATATTCACTTTTTTTGTCATTCAATACCTACTGTATACGATGTTGTCTGGTCATTCAAAAAACCAAGTAGTAACGGTAGCAGCTGTTTTTAGATTGATTTTACATTTATTCCATTACACAACTCTATTGATGTATAACAAGTATTCTGTTTTGTTTTGCTCCGTTAATGTTCTTCCTCGTTACTCATTCAAATATACATTTTCTGTGTGCAATTTTCTTTTTTTTGTGCTTTTATTTTCTGGTAAATCGATTTGATGATGTTGAGGTTAACAAAAAGAAACAGCAAATTGTAATGACAATGCGTATCGTAGTTGTAGTTGTACTACATATATATATATATATTGATTTATTCATTACCGTTTTAGAACAATAATTGAGATTGCAAGTTATGACCTTCGAGGTGCTGATGAAGGTAAGAAGCAAGTTTTCTTTTTCGTTTTTTTTTGTTATGATTTGGCCTCTCTCAATTAATCCATTGAGAATGAGAAGAAATGGAAATTTATGTTTTTCATTTCTCGAAAGAAAAAAGAAACGTTGAAATCGAATGAATTTGTCGATTAAAATCAATCATATATGTGATTTTACGTTTCTGTGCTTTATCTGCCGGCGTTGAAGAATATGACTGTATAGTTATTCTTCCGGTTTGAGGTCACATTCAATTAGTCATCTCCTGTCAATAGTAATATAGTAACTTAAGCGCTGTCTATCGTAGAAAGGCCTCTGCATATCTCGTATGTCGATGTTAATCTCATTTCCATCTGTTGTCGGTTTAGTTGGCTAAGTTTTATATTTGAAATTAATAAATTTTATTAGGCAATATATCGTAATGAAAAATCTTTTGGTTAGAAAAGCAGCTAAGTAAGTAGATGACAAGAATGTAAGGATAATATGATCGTTATCTTCATCATCGTTGCAATTCGATTGAAATCAGTAGGACATAGAGAAAATTAATTTTATTATTCCCTATAGAGTTCATTTGTATCATTCGACTTGTTTTTTCAAGACAGACTTCACTGCGGTCTCTTTTTGAAGATGGTTATTCACTTTTCTCATATCTGTTTATATCTTTTGCATATGTATCCAATGCTAATAATCATGCGCAGTTATATGATAGGCTTCACGTAGCTTCCTTGTGCTTTTCTTATCATCGACTATTGCTAATATTAATAATGATGAGAACATTTGCCCAATAATATGAACATAAGAAATAGAGATCAGAATATACTGTAGAAAAATAAATTAACCGTATAAGCCGTTGAACATATAGGTAAGTCATATTCGCAAATCAATATTATCCTGATCGAAAGAGGCAGAGCAAGTATATATATTCACTCTATTCTTTACGTATTATTAAATAACAAATCTTCTACACATATATACAAGGTTATATAAAATATCAGCCTCTCGGCTTATATAGATATAGGCATAGCGTAGTGTCTCTTCTGTTTTGCGCTTTTGCACATGGAGAAGTTTTATGGACATCATCCGTTCGTATAGTATAAGATAAGTATCATAAGCTTTCTATGAGTAGCATATTTAATGAAATGATGAATACGATAATAACCTAATCTTGCTCTGTATAGACGTCATATTGGCAATTTTAAAGTTGTGTCATCATTATGAGACATATGTTCATTAAGATGCATAACTGATCCAGTAGCAGCAATGGTGAAGCTTTATATACATTTCATAGGAAAGAAAGCAAACACTTTACAAATTGCATAAAACACGTAGTATGACGATAAAAATTTCTACTCGGCTTATTCAAATCTATATCTCGCGCAATTCTATCGGACTCGAATAGTGAAGCCTTGATGAACTTTTTAAGTAGTTATTTTACAATTCATGTATTTCTTTCTAGCTTATTGTAGGTCATCGTCATTTTGCTATTGATATTAAATGGCGACAAACAAATCATTCTTTCGTCCTTATAATTATCAAAAAGCTCCTAGAATTATAACTGCAAAATTTCGTAGTAAAAGTTCAGATTCTGTATCGAATCATAATAATAATAATCAAAAAATTGATTCACAAAAACAAGAAAATAAAATATCAAAAATGAAAAAATCTCAAACAACGTTAACTGATTTTGAAACAAAACCTCTTGAAACAACATGCAATACAACATCGATGCTACGTCGTCGATTTAGTCTTTTTCGTATTAAACGTTCACAACAAGCAAATGAAAATGTCAATGTTCATGCACTTCAACAAATTATTGATAATTTGCGACATGATTTACAGAATAAAACTGATGAACTTCAAACAATAAGAAAACATGTTGAAAAAAAACGTCATAGTATCATACAACTACCCGATGAATCAATCGAACAAGCGTTGCAAATGCAAACAACGTTGAATGGAAGACTTGAAGAAATGCTTACAGAAAAGGATTTACTTAAAAAAAGGATTCAAGAACTTGAATCTTATGCACAACAAACAAAACGTAAGAGACATATTTAGTTTTTCTTTTCATGTCCACTTGTGATATATCGACACAAGAGTGCTCAGTAGGCATCGTATATATGATAGCATAGGCACATTGATTCGCATATGTATATGATTGAGAGAGAGAAAAAATGAAACTATTAATAATTGAACATATTGATATCTTAAGTATATGTACTTGAAAATGAATTAAAAATAGATTTTTGTCTCTAGGATGAATTGTGATACTATTTTCTCTTTGTTAAACTTAGTAATACAGTAGGTAGTCCTCTATCGAGGACACATGCAATCAATCAATCGTTGTGTCATCAGGTGTACATGCGGACAATCATTATTGTCTAAAGTGTCCTTGTGTTTAACCCATATTATGTCTCACACAAATAGCCAAAGAAGAGAGAACGAGAGAGAGACAAGTTTTCTACTTCACCAATGCTCGATTTCTCTTTTCTTCTTCTTCTTCTTCTTTTTCTTCTTCGACTGTACACATAGATGTGCATTGCATTTTTTCTCTCCTTCCCTTCATCACACTCTCGCCAGCATAACATGCATATAAACATATACATATCACACATCGGTCGAAGTAAAAGCTGATCAGAAACCTTTTTTTCTCTCTCTCTCTATCGTATTGGTATTAATGACAATAATCGAATTGTTACATTTCAATAATAATAAATTATAATGCGTCTTTTTCGTCGATTTCGAAAACCGACGCCAGTTACATCTTCACCATTCCAAACTGTTGTCATCAATAAAGGTAAAAATAGATGTTCTTTTGTCCTTGTCGTTGTTTTCATAACACTTGTAATGCATATTTGATTACAAATTCTTTTCTCGTTTTGTAATCAACATGTCTACTGAATGTTTAACATTTACATCATGTATATATCGCATTATTTTACAACGTAAACATTCGTTTGACTAGATTTTGTTGTTTTTATTGACCATCCTATTCATACAAATAAATCTCAGCAGACAATGAACATTTTGTGTATGTAAAAACAAAAATTTAGCTGCTTTGCTCACGTACTCAATTTAGTAATTGCATGAGTGACCTTTACATTCTAAAGTATTCTATTTTATTCTATAGTAATTAGTTCAAATATGTAAATATGAATTATTTTCTCTGTTATTATTGTGATTCCTATTCTGGTTATTCTTTACTTATTTGTTGTTGTTGTTGTTGTTGTTGTTGTTATTGAAGTGACCATTAGTTTGCTTTCAGTCTGAAGCAGTTAATTAGACAACCAAGGTCTTGAATCGATTGATATAGATTTTCGATTCTCATCAATAAGAGAAATACAATATACATTTTTCATTTAAAATAAAACAACATTATCATTATCTATTTGACATGACAATTTCAAATGAAATCTATTTCTTCTCTATTTATCAATTATAATGGTCTCTGTATTCATTTGCATGAAAATTTAAAACGAAATTAATTAAACTTGACCTAATTCATTAAAATGTTAGCTACCCTATGTGTTGTTCTCTATAGATGTTTTGAATACATACGTGTGACATAATAGAGCATACACACATACACCTGTCTATTTGTTTAAATTCAATCCGATGATGAATGCAAAAGAAGATCGACAGAAGCATATGTCTATTGTTCTAAATACAGATAATTTACATTTATCTTTTCGTTGTTCTAATCCATCAGAAATAGTTTTTCTTCTCTAATAATGAATCGATGTCAAATTCAAGTCCTCTGCTTATGATATATTTAACGCAAGGTAATATAAATACTATTTTCTTCTTTTGTACTTCAAGCATTTATATTTAATTGATGGAAGAAGCCACTGTAACGGTTTCTCAAATTTTGAATTTTTCTTCTATGTTTTCATTTAATATGAAGCATCAAAACAGACTTCAGTAAGAATAAACACAATTGATTTCGATTTTATTCTCAATACTCTATATTTAACTTGCCATTCTGTCTTATATAACATTATTAAAGGCTCAATTCAGTTTAGTGTATAGTGTGAACGTGAAAAGTGTGTACACATCAAGTTTTTCTTTTTACTGTCTCTCTCTCTCTCTCTCTCTCTGCCTTTTCTCTTCGTTCTGGTGAATCGACCGTTGAGCAACGCATTTTAAAGGGACGTGTGTAAATGCACACGACTGTCAAAAATGACTGGCTACTTGTTCTTAAATATAATCTATGAACTTGAACCTGGTGTAGAATTTCATTATTATATTCTCTGAGAAGATTCTCTTCTCATTATCGAAACAATGTTGTCTTATTATGAACAATATGAAGAACAAATATTTCATTATCAAATGGATTTTGTTCATCATCAAAACTCTTTTTATAATTATAATAAGAAAAAAAAAGAGGCTTTTATATCATCTTTATCCAATTCATCATCATCATCATCACTTTTAACATCAGCAACAAATAAATTAATATCGATAAAGACTACTGATTCAAATGATAATAATTCTTCATTGATTAGTCATACTATGCCTTTAACAGTAAAAAAACGTTGTACTACACCTCCATCTCATCAATCATACGAGGATTCTGAATCTCGTCTATTACCTGAGATTTGTTCGACTATATTACCGAGTAAGTTGTAATAGATCGATGATATTATCTGTTGTTATATTAGATTTCTTGGCATATCGATATTATATTTCGATTGCATCATCATCATCATCATCATCATCATCATCATAGATAGGAATCCTTGTATTCTTCATTATAACGTCATGTGTAGTTGATATGACAAATGAACATGTGCATATCGTTTAAGGTCGAATTTATTCAATATATCGTTAGCTTTTATAAATGATCAGAATGATTGGATTAGGGCTATTTAGAAAATCGATTCAATTCGAATCTGATCTATCAGTATTTCGTTTTTATCCTATACGTTATCATCGGTTTACAGGATTTACTGTCCGTTGGTTGCTTCGAAGAATAGAAATAAACAGAAAAATATTTATCGCAATCAACTATGTATATTTAGAAAAAAAAAAAAGAATTCGAGCAAATATATGAGGAAATAACAAAGAATAAGGAATTGATTGATAAATAAACAAACCAAAAAAGATGAATGGACGTTCAACTTTTTGTTGGACGCTGAAAATATCTAAGTTCAGCAGCTTTTAAGAATGATGGAATATCGATAATCGAGGTAGCATAATTGTCGTTTATCATGGGCAGATTCAGTAAACATAGCAGACATTTTTAGCAAGAGTATGATAAGAAAGTTATGTTCTTTGAACTTATATATATTTTTTTATAATTTTTTGTCATATTAATGACTATCTTACCGCTCAATTTGATGAGCATCCATCATTTTAAATTGAAAATTTATTCAATAGTTTGCTCATTGGTGACTCTTTTGTTTTTCAACATTTATGTAATTTTTTGTGCAGAAAAGGAATTGTCTGTCAAGACCATTACTCATTAATTTCTCTTCTTCGAAGTAATCAATGGACAGTAAATCCGCGGACAGTAAATCGTGTACACGGTTAGCATCGTCTCGTTTGAATGATCAGCCGTGTAATTTGATACCAATCATAATTTTCTCGCTTTCTCTTGATGTGCTACAATAAAAAAACCCAATTTGAAGGTAACTTCACACCAGAAAAGTGACTATAAATATTTTGATAGGCAACTATATAAAGCCCTTTGTATTTATCTATCAAGGCTTCCTATATAACTCATATATATATATATTTCGTGTCGTAATTGTTCTAACCTTGCTCTATGTTATGTTTGTATTTATATTTTTATGAATAAGTAATGAGCGGTTAGAAAAAAAAAGAGTGAGTAACAAAGTTAAGTGCAATAATAAAGAAAAGAATCAATGATCGACCCTGCAACAATCGAGATGGCGACAACTGATAGGAAAATGTATAGCATAGAGAAAGTCAATTAACAGTGAAGAATATAAACAGTATGATTTTATTGAGTTAAACGATACCTCGACATAGATTTTCTTTTTTTTTGCTTTCTCATTATTGTTCATAACAATATTATTGATAAGTCTTTAGAAATAATATATTCACTTCCTTGAACATGTATCAAATCAAACGACCACATCGAATATACGGTAAACATAAATGTCTAGTTTATAACAAAACATCGATAAAGAACTTGAGTCAGTCGAACGCGTTTTCAATTATTTATTAAATTATGTAAGGTTTCAAGCGTTATGTTATTTTTTGAAATTTGCCTACATTGAAATCATTAGAATAGTGAATCTTACTATGAAGAGTTGATCTCTTAAAATTTACGAATAGTATGTTTTCTCTAGGGCACTCATAAAAGCTGTATCTTACACAGTATTTATTTTGATTATATTAAAACTCGTCACTCTTGTATATATTTATGGTTATAGAGATGATTGAAGTTGAATTTTAAATAAAAATAGAATGTCAAAATCAAGGTGAAATATTTATAAGTAAAACTCTAGATTATAATAAATAGTTCAAGGTTAAAATATATAATTAAATTTTGATTTCTTTTTTTGTTCTTTTCTTCTAGCTTCAAATTTACCTACCAATAATTCTTGTGTGACTACTACTTTCAATGACTCCAACAATTCTGTTATTAAATCAACCAATTTTACAGGTTCAATACCAATATCGCGCGCTGAAATACGTCATAAAAGTGAAATTGAAATTGAAGTTAAACACGAAAAACAACAACAACAACAACAACAGCAACCAATAAATAATACCATTAGAAATCATATTACTCAAATAGTGCCTCCAGCTCATCCAACAGTGATACGTCCAATCGGTCTAACAAATAAACAACCACCAGTACCCCTAAAAATAAAATCTGATGAAAACTCTATACCATTACAATATCCAATACCTAAACGTCGGATATTGACAAATTCAATACAAACTCAAACAGTACCCGTATTATCGAACCAAACAGATAATCAAATTCAACAACATAAACTTAAAACATTATCTGATGAAACTCGATCAAAAAGTGAAAAGATTCAAGCACTTCTACGTGGACTCACAGATTATCAGGTGAGAATAAATCAGTTGTAGCTTTTTCTTTTTCAAATTGAACATGTACATGAAAAGTGTTAATCTTTATTGCTCATTCTCTTCTCTTTCTATTCTTGCTCTACAGGTAACGACCAAGCAACAGGAACAACAATTGACGAACGGCAAGAAAGAACGCGATCAATTGTACTTTATTGTCGATGAGCGTACGAACGAATTACGTAATCTAAAGCAAAAGAATGAACAATTGGAGCAAATGATAAGAAATGGTAAATAATGCAATGCACGCCTATATATTATAAAGGAAGACACATGCGCATACCATGCGGACAGAGTTTTACGGCAAATAATTGCATTTTCTTTTCTCATTTAGAACAAGAACATAGTAAAGACGAAAAGAAACTTTTCTCCCTATTACAAGAATCTCAGCAAGATCGAGACGAAGCACTCAAGCAACAGGTATCGTAAACATAGAATTAAAAAAATGACTAACTAACTAACTAGTCTTGTATTTCTTTGATTTGTTAAGCGACAAACTTATGAACGTTTACAAAAGTTAGAAGAACAAATAAAAACGTCGGAAAGTGATGCAACAAAAATGCGCGATCAAATGTTATGTTCAAAAATGAAATTAGATAAAAAAACTGATGAAAATCTAAATTTAACAAATAAATTAGCAGAAATGAATAAGTACTGCGATCGCCTTGAGCAAGAAAATCAAAAATTAAAATTACAAATCGAAAACGAACAACGAAAGGTAAAAATCTAAACGAAATTTTTATATATTTATGTTTTGTCATTTCTAGATTGAAGAGTGTACAAAATTAAAAACATCCGTTGATATTGAATTACAAAATTCACTTGATAAAATACGTGCTGAACGATATGAACATGAAACAAAAGTAAACACATTAGATGATACATTAAAATATGCTCAAAAACAACATCAAATATTACAACAAAATCAATCGGCTATTGAAGATAAACATAGAAAAGAAATTCAGGAATTAAAAGAACATATTCGTCAATTAGAAATAAAAATTGAAGAAGTTATTCAAGATAAAGAATTAGTTTCAATACGTTGCGGAGAATTAATTGAAGAAAATCGTAAACTAGAAAAAACATTAAACGACAGAGAAGATGATTATGAAGAAAAAATTAAAGCTTATCGAGAGAAAAATTCATTTCTATCAATACAAATTGAAGATTTAGAAAAAAAAATAGTCGAAACAAAAAAGCAACTTGAATTAATAACAATTGAAAAAGATGAAACTTTAGCTGATATGTTAGTTGCTGTACGTGTAGCCAGTGAAATGAGACATGGTACCTACTACAATATATATTTTAGAAAATTTTTATACGAGACTATACTTCTATTCATTTAGATGCAGAAGATCGTTTTAATAAAGTTAATGATGATCTCAAACGCGTGACAGAACATATTGAACAAGAACGAGCACTCCATAAAGAAGTTCAACGCAGACAGGTTAGTTTCGTTTTTTTTTCGAATTTAAACTAGAGAAAATTTATCATACTGTGGTAGAGGACGTTATAGTAGAGTATTAGATGAAGCAGGAAATATGTCACGTACTTGAGTAATAATTAGCATGATGTCTACAGTTGACGTGTGGAATGCTGTGAGAATAAATATTGTCAATGATATTTTCATAATTTGAAAAAAGTTTGTTAGCACAGCCTCGTTGGGGCTAAAATGTGGAACTCACATATATCCCTTAGGTTTATTAAAATAGTTCAAAATAGTCCATTTGAAAAATCTACCTTGATTTCCAAAACCTATAATTAGGTCATTGCCTATTTGTTTATGTCTGCAATGGAATATTAGTTGTTAGCTCGTATATTTAACAATGGCGGAGACTAGTTGCTATGGTCTGTAATGGGCAAGCCTTGCTTTTTTTCGTGTCGTCTGTAATTAAAAAAGAAAGAAATAGCAGCCTAATTAGTCAAGCGTCTAACAAGCACAATTCTAAGCTCATTAATGTCTGTAATGGGGAGAGGGACTGGGGAGCCGCAAAAATCTCGCTTTTAAACTTACACTCACCATTTTCTTCGAAAATATATGTGACTTCCACAAAATTAGATTAAAGTTATTCTGCTTTTCGATTGTCGATGTGTATATGTCATGTACTAATAGCTAACCATCAGTATAAGATACTTTAGAGATTCTATGAATGTAGTGCGTTTATGTTTACCTTCAAATACATGCAATTCTATTGGAAATGATAAAAGGCCTATTGCCTAGTGTCGTAATGAAATTTACTTCATTTTGTGTCGATAAATACATCGCAATCAAGAACCTTTTGTTTACACATTTACTTTTCGAACTATGACCGATATATTTTATACAATCTATATCGAACAAGAGTTCAGTAAGATTTACCTTTGGTTGAATAGTTTGACTGTAGGTAAATTCGAGAAGGAATATCTAAACTAAAAAGTCCTTTTTGGCGTAAGATCTAACTTGGATTCAACTATATAAAAAAACAACAACAGATGAAATATATTTATTTTAAAGAAAAATATGTTCATAATCAACCATATATTTAGATGCAATTACCACCAGCCGGTCGCAATTCGAATGAATTTTGTGGTAAACAAATGCACATTGTTTTTTTTAATCTTAATTTACATTCGATTATCTATCTTTGTTTTAGACGTTGGTCATGTAAGAATAAAAGAAATGATTCAAACATTAGAAGCTAATGCTCGAAAAAGTGATAATTTCAGTTTCAAAAGGAAAACAAAAATATCGAATTTCTAATCTCTTGTTAAGATTCAATCAATACATTAAATTCTCACATCGATACTACAGTTCGTCAACGTCCCGTATCTCAACCTTGTACACGCACAGAAACGAATGCTATATTAACAAATAATCATCATCGACAATTCGGTACAATAACTGATGATGCAAAAATTTTATCTTCAACAAAAAATAATTCTTCAACATTCAACAACAGTAACCGATCTGATATATCAATGCGATCAATAACAAAGTAATTTATAGCACGAAAATTTCCCCCATCTTTTTCTTTCCACGAAAATCTAATTCATGAAATTTATTTTAGCGAACAATACGACGAAATGAAATCGATTGTTGAAGCCGTTTTTGCTCGAATGCCTGGAAGTGTTTGCAAACGTGACGCTTTGTTAAAATGGTGTGTAGAGAGATTAGCAAACTATGTAAGTAGTTCCATTGCTTACTTTTTCATCGATATGAAATGAAAGATTTCATGAATTCAACAGGGAATATCAATAACAAATTTTTCAAATTCATGGGTAGATGGTATTGCATTTTGTTCATTATTACATTCATATTTGCCGGATCATATTGATCTTGATATGATTAGGAAAGAATCAAAAGTATTATATAGAACACTATATATGAAATGAAATCACTATCGATTTATTTTTTGTTTTTTAGAAAAGACGTTTTGAAATAGCTTTCAATATCGCTAGTAGTATTGGTATTTTATCTATATTGGTAAGTTGATAAAAGAAATAAGAAGAGCACCACTTTCCTCTATGTCATTCTGCGTATTTCACGTTTTAGGATGTCGATGAAATGTGCTCATCAGAATGGCCTGATTGGGAACGTGTCATGTATTATGTTGCATTAATATTTCGTCATTTCGAATGTTCAACACTAAATCAAACTATTTCCCCGATCTTACCAATTCCACAAGCATCGTCATCACCAATGTCACCAACATGCTCAAGTTCATCATCGCCCATATGTACATCGCTAAGATCAGGAAATTCCATTCCAACTATACTTTGTTCACCATTGCAAACTGTATAATCCAGAGGAGTTTTTCATTCGTTTTATTTCTTTTTCAATCTACATAGTAGAATGCATTCCAAAATTTGATTTCTTTCTTTTCTTTTGACTATCTTTGTATACATGAATTGATGCTTTACTTTTTATTGCATGATATGATGTGTGTGCGTGTGTGTGTGTTTGATTATGATGGAAAAGCAAATGTAGTTTTCTTTTTGTTTTCGCTTTGTTTGTTGATGATTTGCTTTCTCTTTTTTTATTCTATTATGATGATGGTGAGAGATACGCTTGCAGATGATTTATTTATTTTTTTCTTTTGATCTTCTAACTTGATTTTCTTTTTTGTTTAATATATGCATATACATAAATATATAAATGTAAACAAGAAATAGTATGTAAAAGTCAGATGCAAGTAGCTAGGCGTAAAATCAGCATTTGGCAAGAGATTGTTCTGTCTTGTTTTCTTTTTTCTATCGGACCCATTTTTGCAAGTACAAAAAATAGTATAAAATTTAAAACTATGAATTATGGAGAAAGGACGAACGATGTACTGAATGATACCATGAGTCGCAAGCTAACTTCTGCGACTTCAGACATTTTTTATTCGCTTGGATTAAAGAAATATTTTAATCTATATGGACTGATTTTCGCATAGAGTTCTAAAACTAAAAAGAGAAAGAAATTTACTATTCAATAAAATTATTGTTATTATTTAGTTCTTCAATTCAGCTAAATATAAAATAAGTTACATTGAGTTTTATTCAAATGTTCAACATTTATTCACTGGACTGGTCAGACTGGCATGTTTGACTCGAGCGATCGAGACCATATTGGTGGTCACCGCTACGATAGCGCAGCCACTGAAAATGTAATGTGTCTAGTCGCAACAAAAGCTTATATTGTGGATTACGATACTCTCGACCAAGCTAATAGGGTTAGTTCAAAGTATGCATTCATGGTGTCACTGTAAATTAAAACGTTGAAGAGTGCTCGATCGTGAAAAAACAAAATCAGCTCACTTGATATGTGGAGTGGTTTTGTATCCTCTAGCTATTTATAGACCATTGTGAGCAATCAATGATATTCGTATAATCTATTTTTGAAACTCTAAATATCAAAATTGCAGATTTTCATAGGAAAAAAGCACATGTGATAAGAACGATATTGTACAATTTGGAGTTTTGTTTGGAAGCTACTGAAAAATTGATCATCTGTCCTGAACGATTTTGTTTTTGAAAGTTGTTAAACAATCGACAAATAAGTTAATAACGAATATGCACACATTCATAATCAACTCAGATCGAATGATTTTTCTTAAATAATATCCATTATAAGAATTTAGGGGATTTAACCGTAAAGGTATTCATTTTTCTTCATACAATCTAATCACAAGAATGACAATCAAACGCGTCCAAAACTAACAGCCGATCATTTTTCATCCTTTTTCTTCATTTCATATACTGAATATGATTGTATGTCGATGCACTAAATATAAGACCAGGAGTAGAATCTGTCTCAATATATAACGAATAGCAATGTTAAGAGTGCATGTTGGTATTTTTAACCTAAGAAAAGAAAAAGAACAAAAATGCCAGATTTTTTTTGTATGCAGTCGATGTATATTTCTTCATTCATTGATTATTCTAATAACAGAAAAAAAAATCTTCATCCACACACACATATATAAGAATTGTTTGAAGTCTTCAATTGACAATTCTGTCATTTGTTAAATATACAATGTCACTGCTTGATAGAACTTTGACTCAATTCGTTGTGCGTGTTCTTTCTTTTCGCCTTTGCATATTGATTTTAAAAAATCGAAAAAAATCGAAGAAACAGAAAGAACTCTATGGTGACTTAAAAATGATGACTGTATATAATAGACCATTTGGCACGATGCGAAGCAGAAATAGCAGCTGTTATTTATCCCAACTCTGTTGGTTTTCAATAGAAAAGTCGAATTATTTCGAATGTTTCTAATGCAAAGTTAATTATTCGTTTCATTCTCTATTTCAAGACACACACACACACACACACACGCATATATACGACCCAGAAAATATATACAAGTACATACAATATGTATTTGCTCATCATTTGTAGTTGATTCCGGTCAGCTATAGTTGACCCGGATTCCTCTCGCTGTCTCTCTCTCTCTCTCTCTCTCTCTCTCTCTCTTTCTCTATTACGTCGCATAAACAGAACATATCATCTTTGTTTGTTCTCTCTTCCATTCTCGGTATATGTTAACGATACCGAATAGGGTTTGATAGAGAAGCAAAAGAAATAGGAGAGAGAAAGAATCTATGCTTCTTTTGTCGTTCACACATTAGCGATGCAAAGATAGGGGGACAGCAAAAGAAACTAAAATCTTGTCGACATATGTGATTTTTTTCTCTATTTGTAGACGACGACGTCCACTAGTAACGATTCTACGGCGTTGAACATGAATACTTCTAATGCGGCACCTAGCTATATGACTCCTGGTCATATGCAACATGTTAATTATGGCCAACAACCACCTGCATCTGAAGATTTTATTGATAAAGCCTATGTTACATCAATTCGTAGCATTCTTAAATTTGCTTGTTTGGTAAATGAATTTGATAGTGACTAGCTTTTCGTTTTGAATATAACTTTACAAGAGAAACCTAATCCAACCAACAGGTCAAGTATGTCGACAAATAGTTCATTGGATTATGTATTGACGTAATCTTACATCTTGAATATCGTGCTAAATCATATCCATAGCTACTTACAATAATAACAATAGATACACTATTCATAGTTGATTATTTCTTTTTTCATTTCTAGTTATTTAGTTTTATTGCATTTGTTTGCGTGGCAGCAACACCACAATGTAATGGCAATCAAATCTTTTTGGCTTCGGTTGCGTGGCTTGTTATTATAATGCAAGTTACAATAATAATTGTGTTCGTTTTTCGACTTAAAAGAAAATTCACTGGGATTGATTTTGACTTTTTGGTAAGTAAAAAATGGTAAATATCGATTGATTGCGCGACACTTCTATACTCAAATAAGACGAACCATGTTAGGATGATCGTTTATTTACAAATATGTACGAAGCATGATCATTTTGTGTCAATAGAACAAGAATAACAACTACTTCCGTGTTGACATATATTTTTAAGGGTTGTCGTTGAATGATTATATAATTTTGATTTTTAGGATTTTTTTGCAACAGCGCATGATGCAATTTATCTTTTGGTAAAGATTAAATCATTGTTTAGTTTGTATGAAATAAAAAAACAGTTAGTTGTTGTCTTTATTGAATATTAGGTTTCATCAAGTGTAACGATTCATTATTGTCGAAATCCTGGACAAGTTGCGGGTGGTGTAAGTGGTTCTAGACCGATAATTTTATTCTTAACATTGACCTATTGTTTCTATCTAGGTAATGGGAATATTTGCGTTTGTATGTTTGGCTGGTGATGCTGTCGTGATTTTCTTAGCTCGACGAGACGAATCAGATCCTAATACAAGTAGTAATGGCGTTCGATAATTGATCAACAATACACTCGATTCATATACTAGATATTCCATGAAATGAGAATTCTAAGTTCATAATTGTTAAATAGAATTTTACTTTTTCTCTTTTCATTTGTATTGATATACATTGATTTCTTTGTTGTGTTTCTTTGAAAAAATAATTACAGGAATGAATGACGTGCACTATCAGTAGTTTCAGCCAAGTTCAAAATCGAGATTTGTGATTGCTTGAATAGTGTCTTTAAGACAATATTTTAAATAAAAATTGAATTCTTATTAATGATCTGTTAAATAACAGTGTTCATCGATGTATGTCAATGAATCATCGGTCAGTAAGCTTTGAGTTTGATCAATCTTTTTCTTTTTCAAAATATTTCTCTATAGTATTTATGTGATTTGTTTAAAATATATATGCAAGTCTTTGCATTTGATTTTTCGTCAGAACCATCTTCTAGAATTCTGTAGACAATCAGCATGTCTATCAAGTATAGTCGTTTGTCTTCGTTTATTCTTGTCAAATCAAAAAAATGTCAAGAATAGTTCCAGAAATTCTTTTCTGATTAAGAACCTGTAAGCTAACAGTAAATTTCTTGATGATAGAGAGAAATTTTTCAAGCGATTACCTCAATTCAATTTTAGTGGATTTTTTGTTCCAGAAAACATAAAATACGTGACTTTCAATGGTAACTCAGTATCCAGATGTGTACAGTTTTAAGAGCTGATGAATTTAAACCGTTAGTAATAACAACTGAACTCAGTGACTTATTTTCAATGTCATCACAGCATACCAGGTTTTTATTTCTATTATCATGGGACCGCCGTCGACAAGATTCCAGCTGCTATAGAGAGATCTAATCTTTCGCCTTGTTTTTATGTGCGTCAATGTTTTTCATAATGAATGTTAATGTTATTGCTTAATTAAACAAAGGGATACTATTAGAAATCCCTGTGTCTTCTTGATGTTAATAACGAATGAATACCATAACGATGGAACTATTTTATTATTGAAGAAAGAGGAGTATATATAGGGGGAATATGTGCCAGGGAATGACTATGCAAACGTCGATGAGTCAAGAAATAAATATATGCCTGTAACATTCCTCCTCACCGACAGAAATGTGGGTCCACACACATTAACAGATACAAAAAAAGAGCGAAGAAAAAAAATTGAAATAGTTGAGAATGTTGATACGAAGTGGAACAAGAACAAAAGAGCACAAGAAACAATAGTATAGCGATACTATGAAAAATAAAAGACAGAAAGAAGAATCAATGCGATGGGGATGTGGATTCAGCTCTATAAACTATTTCGAAGTATAAAACGTTATCGACAATAGTTTTAGATGCAATACACACGACGAAAGAATAAAAATACAACCGAGAAAATTGGTATATTGAAAACCAAGATTGTCGATAAAAAAATCTGCCATTTTAGATAATTGAAGATTGATACGACGAGACGAAAGCAACTTTGAAAATATTTTTCATAAGTTGTTTCCTGCGTTGTTTTCGATTGAGTCATAGAACGAATGCCGATTTGATACCGAATGCCAAATATCCGAATGAGGATGTAAGTGCTCCCAATGAATTAGAGACATCGTATACTGAAAACATTTTCGTTGAATACTGACGTTAATGAACAATTGCGACGATGGTAATGACAAATGAATATGAAGATTCACTTGCTTTGAAAATACAACATCAAGGGAAGAGGGTCACCGCACCAAATATTAGAGATCCCTGTGTCTTCTTGATGTTAATAACGAATGAGTGCCATAACGATGGAACTACTTTATTATTGAAAAAAGAGGAATATATATAGGGGGAATATGTGCCAGGGAATTACTATGCAAACGTCGATGAGTAAAAGGAATAAATATATGACTGTAACAGATACCATTCTTTTTTTTTCTATAAAATAGTTTTCTTGGAAAATACAAGATGCACACAGCAACTATTGTCAAGTTTTTGTTAAGGTTTTTACGAGCTTTGCTATTTTCTAACAACATCTTAGCATTGCAATAATATTCATTTAATTGATTTAATTGATTAAAACGTTTTCTTATGACACAATTATAGGAGTTCATGATGAATCAACATCTTAAGTTCTCATATCTTTAGGGATATTTGTAAAAAAATAAATATTCTTCGACGAAATTTTCCGAACTTTTTTCCTGTGGATTCCGGTCAACTTCCAGCCGGAAAGCACAGGAAACTGACTGGAATCTACAGGAGAAAAGTCCGGTAACTTCCAACCGGAATACTGCTTCCACTTTCCAGCGCTTTCCCGTGCTTTTCAGCCAGATACAGTGATTTTTCCGCAACTTTCCGGCCGGTTCCTACGGTATCCGTCCCCCGAAATCATTGACCTGGCTGTATATAAACTGAATATTACTTCCTTTATGCTTCCATTCAATTTATTTTTGAGAACGTAACCGCTTTATTATGAAACGATCGCATTCTACTACCATAGTTATAATCATGAGTTGACCTGTTTTATTATTATTTGCTATCTATTTGATGACAGTTCATTCACAAACATGGACTGGAACCTATCCAGTTGTTTCAACATGCAATACCTTTATATGCTGTTGCCCCAGCAATAACATCATAGTAACACAGGTTTCATTAGCTACTGTATTATTCAACACAAGTTTAACTGGTTTTTGTCTCGGGCAGACTTCTTTATCTATAGAAATATCTAGTTTAACTGGCTATTCAGTTACACTCACAGCTAGCCCTCTAGTATTGATAATTACATTAGCTGCTGATTAGCGGCGTAACCAGGATTTTTAGACCATCGGGCAAACTTCTATTAAGTCAAAAAAGACCATAGGCAAAATTGGCAAGATTTTTATTGATAGACCAAAATTTTTTAACCCAAAAAAGTATTGATAACGTAGAAAAAACACAAAAATGAGATAAAATGATGTTAAATTAACTACACAAAAAATATGAGATTCTTTTAACCTAAGATATATGAAAAGAAACTCAGATTTTAATCCTGCCTCAGACTTGCTGAGCTATACTTATTTAATTCTATCTTCAGTCTTTATTTATAACATTTGGTTTTGAAATTCAAACATCAAAATCAAGATGACCATGGTATATTTTTTACATATTATTTCAATATTTCGAAGAAAAGTAATAGCCTAATAACGTATTACCACTGTCAGATCTACCATTACAGCTAACCGGCGAGGGCCACTACCTTCACGAAATTTTTTTCGATTTTTCCCAGCAGAAATGAAACAGAAAAAAGTCGTATTGCCTCAAATATGCTTCAAAAACCACTTTTTGACCAGGAGTGCCACTCCCCTTACTGATTTTCTGGATCCGCCACTGTGAATATATACATATATACGTATGTACAATTGTGCATTGATCATCCTTTTTTGTACGGCTGTCTTCGATTAATTCTTCATAAGAACCAGCAAAGGGTACATATGCGATTCAAACGAAAGAAAAAAAGACAGTAGCTAGTTTATTCAAAAGTAAATAATTGTGAAAAAGTAAAATTTCAATGGGCAAGGCTCAAAATGAAATGGGCAATTGCTCATTTGCTTCTCACTGGTTGAGTGTGGGTGTGGCTAAGTTGATCTTTGTTCACCAAAGTAGTCCGACACCCACACCCACACCCTCAAGAAGTGCTCAGGAGAACGAGAAAAAATGAGTCCACAATAGAATTCGAACCTGACAGTACTTTTGTATAGAAGATAGAATGTAGGAAGTATTTGTTTTAATATTTTTAATATTTATTGAGTACAACAGAAAAATATGTTATCATTTTTTTTATATATGATCCTATAGAGACACACCAGAACATCTAAAAACACCAGGCGCAAATGGAGAAATTATTATCTTTACGTGAGTTATATGATGCTATTGAATGCAGTTCCTTTGTTTATTTGTTGATTCAATTACTTAATACATAGATGATTCTGGAACCGCCTACGTTCTATCAATCACCTGTAATCAAAATTTCAAGTGGTTGAAGTAGAGGAACGTATCAATAATGATATGCTAAAGCTGGTAAACTACGTAAAAGACTGGGGCCAAACAGTAGACCATACTAAAACTGAGTTTGTTGTGTACCATAAATCAATCCAATGTCTGAATTTGAATATGTACTTGACGGAATAAAAATCTTGCAAAAGAGAAGTTTCAAATATCTAGGCTTTCATCTAAATACAAAGTTGACTTTCCGTAACATGATTGATGCTTACTTCATAAAATTACGAAAAGCTTATATGGTACTAAAGTTTAATTCCTAGTCAATTACCATCTTATTCGCAACTAAAAATTAAATTCTTCAACACATATATGGCCATACATTATCATCAATAGATGATTTCATTTCATTAGGAGAACTCTTCATGTTTTTAGATACTTCTTGTGATCCCAAGGGGCTAGTGATGGGTTTGTAAAGCATGAGGTTTTTGACTCGTTCAAGAACTCTACCCAATGAGATGAAAATTAAAAAGAAATTTTTCATATAGATGTCTCGTTTTCGAGTCGTTGAAATCTATCGAATAAAGGCCGATTAGAAGATCGGAATATGGGTACTTGTGTTGGATAGCCGTCGAACGTCTAAACTAAATATGAACTATGTTTTTTCGATGAAATTTGTGTTTTCAATGCTAAGAAAAATAGCGCTTACAGCTTATTTGAATATTTGCTTGAATTTTTCGGTTAACAACATTGTTACTACAGATTCTGCTTGTCATTTTTGATCGTTTTATATTAAAAGAAATTTAGAAAATTATGAATTTAAGGGAAACATGTGTTCAGTACGCATTACTCTTCCAATTCAGCTGAATAAATGAAGTATCTAAAAATCTCTTTTTCTGAATGAGTTTCCCAACATGAATCTTAATTTTATCACTTGAAACTAATATTTTACCATCCCTCTGATATGTTTTTGTTTCTAAAGTACTCGAAACTCCTCTGAATGCCGATCGATCTAAAAGTCTTTGAGAAGTCGAAAATAGATATTCGATAAGATAATTTTCGAGCGCTCGTCATGTCCATCACACGTTTTTACTATTTGCTTCGATTACAAAATAATTTTGTTTTCGATTAAGAAACGAACATAGTTTGATATAATCTGATGTCATGCAAACTTTCACTTACAAAGAAGCCAGTTGTGTTTTTTCTCAAAAGCGACATATATAAATGCTGAAATAAACGATTCTATAACTTTATTATTTGTGGCCTATTACATAAAAATGAATGTTTGGCAAAGTATTTTGCTCTTCATTTTTTTCGCTGGATCCATTTCGTCAGCATCAGAAAACAATTTTCTTTTGAACTTTTGCTTCAGTATTTTATCATGTCGCTCTAATGATACTTATCTTAAGCTAACACCAGCCAACTTCAATTCAAATTTATATAATTATACAATTCACATCCCTAACGATTATCCATCTTACAGAACAACAGGTCCTATTCGTGTTGAGTTTTATGTTGGCATGAATGTATCAAATACAGGCGCTTTTAATTATGAACAACGAACCGTTGCTAAAAGTGTTCTATACGATGCTATGGACAATCAAGTTTTAGCATCAAGTGAATTAGCGTTTTTTTCAAATGAAATGCTTCTTATTTCTGTGAATTTATGGCAACCAAAGGATCGAGTAGCAATGTTTGATAATGAAAATGAAGTCGCTACGAAATTGATTGTTTATCGATTTGATGACGGCACTATACGACAAAGTGATCCATACATTTTGATATTTAAGCGAAATGAATAAAAAAAAAGTTTTGAGAATTATAAATATTTACTCCATTTAAAAGTTATATTATCAATAGTATGGTAAAAAAAAGAAAAAGAAAATCGTATTATTCATATACTATGTACATATGAAACTTCAATCTATTGAAGAAATTTATCGTCATATTCTTCAGGTGATTCATTAGGATTGACGAATCATGTGTATTCTCACTGGATATGATATGTTGGTTGGTTGGTTATCATATACCACAAATCGTCATCCATAAATACATCCCTAAATCATATCCCTATTTGTGGATGATAAAAAGAATATAAATCCCTACTGGTGACCAAATAGGGTTTTTTTTTGAAAATAAGATACAGAGTTATCAAATAGAGAGATACCATTAGAGAGAGACAAGATTGAGTCGCTTTTTAGGATTCTGGTGATCAGAATGTGTGTGCTGGTAGTGCTGTTTTCGTGGCACCACCTTGCTTTGATGGTAAAAATATTTTCAGCAAGATAGAACATGATGTTCAGTCATGATGGACACAACATATCTTACATTCAAAAAAAAAATCCCCAAATTGAAAAATCCGTAAATCACAATCCCTATTTGGTCACCAGTAGGAATAATATTCTTTTTATCATCCAAAAATAGGGATATGATTAAGGGATGAGTTTGGGAATGACGATTTGTGGTAAATGATAGACATTCAAAATATTATCTGAACAGGCTTTTCTAATTGTATCTTTCTGTCAAAATAAAGTTGTTGACAATGGTGGCCAATGAGAAATAGGTTGTAAGGGGGAAGAGGGAGTAAGGATTGGTACCCACAGAATATGTATTTGATGTTTTTCACGTTGCATATAGTATGGACAAGAATAAACTTAGTCCAGCGATGAGTACTAGATTTGCTTCTTTCCAACAAGAGTTCGAACGACATTCTGCATGAGATAACATTGCTACTGTAGCAATTGCATATTGCGAAACTGTTTGTCCGTATTCAAAATCAATTAAATCCACTGTATCAAAAGTATCATGATATCCGTCTCGTTCAAAATTTTCATGATAATTGATATGTTCATTAAATAACAAACAATTGAAACCATATTCAACAAATCTGACTCCATCGGTATTGTACAAATATGCTAATGGATCACTCCATCGACGCAGAACTGGCCGTAGATTTTGTAAAATTAAATCGTTTTTTATTCGTGGATAAACATAGCTGATAGCTAATTCAGCCATGAGTAACGATTTTGTTGTGTCTCCTGCGTTGACTTGCACAATGGGATCACTTCGATTGACACGATGACCAATCATATCAACAATAACGGCGGTGTAAATTGGTTGCTTTTTTATGAATAACTGTTGAAGAAAATGGGAGATGCCTAAGCTAGCTGCAGGATATTCTTCACCCGTCACATGAACTAACCATATGTCACGACATGCATTTTCTTGAGTCTTTTGCAATATTGCAGCTGATTGAAGTAAAGCAATCAAGCCACTAACATTGTCATCAGCACCGGGTGTTGACCGACGTTCACCAGTATCATCAAATGTATCTGCCTCAAATGCAGTATCGATATGATCAATAAATACTACAGGTTCATGACACCTATATGATCCTCTAGCGGGTATATAAACAATAAGATTTGCTTGAGTAATATTTCGCCAGTAGAATATCTGTTTTTCTGTTTGAATATTTAGTTTGTTGTATTGTTCAATGAGATAATCAATCAAATGCATTAATTGATTATCGGTTTGTATAGAAGATTTGCGTGTTAAATATATTTCTGTTTTATTTTCGTACTGGAGTGGTTGCATGCCAGTCAATCGATACATGTTTGATTTCCACTCGTCTGCAAATGTTGTTGGCCATTGAAGATCATTGTACCAAACATCAGAAACTGGCTTTGTTTTGAGTATATCATTTGATGATGGTGATGGAATAGTATACCAAGAAATATTAGATGGCCACTGAAAACTATTGTCTTGTTTAATATTAATAAATAATGAGTATGGTTTTCCATTGACATGGAACGGTTGTGGCAAGACAACACATATGTTGTGATTTAGGTCCTGGTCAATTTCATTCATTTTTTCCAGTGGTAACCATCCCGAATAAAGTTTTGTTATTTGGGGTTGATTCAGAGCACTTGTATAATTCGCAGATGTCCACAAGCAATCACCAAATGCGTTTTTCATATATAATGATGGCAACGACAGTACATCAGCGAATATTGCAAAATGGTCATCGGCATTTGATGTTAGTAATAATTGAGGTAGATAGGGCTCGGGATATTCAGATTCATTTAGTGGAGAATCCACTGTAGATGAAAATGTTATTGACGAGGAATTCAACCAAATCCAGTGAGTGTCATTATGAAATATTCTAGCGTAAACCCATGTATAAAAACCAAATGCGCCAAGAGTGGGCCATAATTCAATCAAGGTAATATTCATCGATTCATAGTGTTTCAAAATCGATTGCAATTGATTTTCACCTGCAGATTTAAGTGAGTCTGGTAGGTAAATTTTGTTTGGTACCGCCAAATCACAATTGAGATCGGTGATGTTGAATTCTGAATTAACGGGTTTACAGCCTGTATACAATGGAATATGTTGATCATCACCAGAGATGAACGGTTGTAGATAATGTTGTATTCCAGTTGTTACATATGAAGATAATGGGATAATACACAAAACATTATTTTCCTGGCATAAGAGGAAAAATAAGATAACTTTTCGAAACATGATTTATTTCAATGGCAATTGTGAAATTTATCAAATTTTATTCTCTAACCATTATTTATTGCAAACGAAAATACTCGACTGCAAGCAGTTGAGATACATTTTGACGAACGATTTGTTGATAACAAATATTTGCGATAGCATCGATATCTGGCATTTAGGTTTAACCTCTTTATAGATAAATAGCATAATATATAATCTGCTTCTTAAATCATGGTACGTATTGACTAAGCAATTGGATTATGAGAAGAAAAGAAACGTGTGTGGCTACGGCTCTTTATACAATAAATTTCCTGTGACATACAGAATTCATAAAAATTATTATCTGAATAGTACAACTGTAAATTTTTTTTAAAGAAAGTGTTGGAAATATAAGAGCACATATTTTGGTTCAATGTACATGCTTAGTTATGAACACATGATCGACAAGAAATATGTTGAAGAGGAAAGATCACAAAAGATAAAAAGTGATGTATGAACGCTCACGTCAGCATAGAACGTTACAATATTTTGTATTGCAGATTACAAAGTGAAGATATAATGCAGACATGTGCCATCTCAGCTCTAAGATAGTGCTCTAGTTCAGAATCAAGTTCTTCCAACAGATACATGTTGATTTTTTGAAATAATAGAATTTGAGCATCATTATGGGGGGGGGGGGGGGGGGGGGGGGGGGGGGGGGGGGGGGGGGGGGGGGGGGGGGGGGGGGGGGGGGNCCCCTACATGTTGCTTTTTTGAAAAAATAGAATTTGAGCATCATTATGCCCCCCCCCCCCCTCTAGCTCAGAACAGTCGAAGGTAGCAAGTGTAGCTTCAATGTCCAGTAATTTGGCAAGGTGCTGTTGAATTTTTCGAAGAGAACCTGCAGTCAGCTTAGCATAATCTGTGGCTCGGTAATAAATAATGTATAATGCAACTAGTGTGACGCATAGTTTGTTTTTCCACCTGCAGTATACCGAATAAATAGAAAATCCGAATATAAAACCTGACTAAATTTTATTCTATAAGTATTAACTTCTTAAAAAGTAACAGAATCCTTAAGTTCTACTTGTGCGAATTTTGCTACTCCTCAGTATCAAACAGTGTTATTCAATCATGTTATGTTCTACAGGAAGTTCCTGAATTATCTCTAGTGTTTGTTTCACCATCAGAATACAATGTTCATTGCGAGGCACGATCTTTTCGTACAGTTCTAATGCTCTTGTATAGTAATGCAATGCTTGTGGATAGTTGCCAATATTAAAATATACAACTCCATGACTGTGAAAACTTTGTGCGATGAGCATATGGTTTTGTTCTAGTGTATGTTCAAATATCATCAAGGCATTTTGATGATAACTCAATGCTTGACTATCATCCCCCATGCTTACGAGCGTACGACCAATATTATACAAACTGATACCTATAAGTACATCATTCGCCTGCAAATGATCTTGTCTGATTTCTAAAGCTTTTCGATGACTTTCTAAAGCATCGTCGAATTCTTTTTTCATATCATAAACATAGCCAATATCATGTAAGACTAAAGTACTATCTTGTATCCGTCCGTCACTGAGCATCAGTTCGTAGGCTATTTGAAAATCAGTCAATGCTAATTCATATTCACCTTTTCCATGGCGTATAATTCCATTATAAAAATAGATGAGAGCTTCGTCTTCGCTTGTCAAATTATCAAAGTATTTTTTTACCGTCGAGACATTACTGATTTTCAATAGTAAAACACCCATTATAATCGGTAAAGTCATTCGCTCCATAACCTGTCGTTGTATAGCGATATAATTCTGTGAGATTTGTAATTCATCATGGTTAAACATTAAGCGAGCTATCCACACTCTCAATTTATCATCAAAATCAAGTGATACCAGTTTAAATGTAGCTCCTAAATTGATCATTACTCGAGTCGAGTCGACCATATGAACAGCAGATATAGAAATATTGGCTATTTCAAAAACAACTGTTACGTATGAATCGTTTTGGTATTGTATGATCTCTTCAAATGAACGATTTGTTAGTAAAAATCCACTGAAAGTCATCAGTTGACCAATATTTTCCAATAATTTTACGAATTGAATTTTTTGTACTATAGTAGTATAATAGAGTTGTTCTGTGGTAGTTGTGTCTTCGATAGTTGAACAGAGATCGTTGATAAAAAAGTTGAATGATTTCAATCGTTCTATGTCAGTCGAATGAAATGCTTTGGCAAGGAGTTTGGAAATAAAACAAGGTTTCAAATACCATTCGTGGACATTTTTAGATTCATATGTCTTGTCAAATCGTTCTATATTTTCCATCTCTACAATATTTTGACAATAATATTCTCGACAGTCTTGAACAATCGAACTTTTATCGTTTAACTGTTCTGTCATCAATAGATCACGCAATAGTAAATTCCAGAAAAATATAGCATTTTCTTTTGATAAGTTTGTATGCGTTGTCAATATCTGCTGTGGGTCATAAAATCCAAATTGTAACGCGAATGATTTTTCTATGTATGTCTGTACATGCTCAAATAATACTGTTTGCTCAGTAAAGATATTGATTAGTTTAGAATATTTATTCTTGAGCTGATCGTCGATCTCTAGTTGCGGAGAATAGATGAATATGAAATGAACTTGGTTTAAATTCTGTAATTTAGATAGAAAATTCTCGTCGAAAAAAGATTGGCAAAGAATTAAGAAAATAGATTCGTCACTGATTGATTGTACATAGGTAAGTAATTGAGACTTCACAGCATAGAACAGTACATAATCATTTATATTACGATATAAATCATCTGTCATATCTTTTATAGTACGATTGGGATCGAAAACAATTAAAGTAACACTTTCTTTGTTGACAGAAGAAGGATTAGTTGCGTGTGAGGCGATTTGCTCGTCGATGAATGATGTTGTCACCGGCTAAAAAGAGTAAATTAGCAAAAACTGAAAAAGTGAGAATAATGATCGGTCTACTTCGATTGTTTTCTTTGGTCGATCATAATATTTGACTAGATCTTCCAATGTCATATCGATATTTGGAGCTGCACTGAGTAGGTCCAGGAATTTATATGACACACTGTGAGTATATTCTATATACGTTTGTCTTGTTTGAGGATTTAAGGGTGTCGGACATGTACGACCTTGTAGAATATTTTGAAATGGTCCAGTAGGGTGATTGGCGATAACTGAACGTTGTCGAATCGATGGTATATCTGTTGATGATGCATTGAAATAGGAGCTGGTAAACATGGGTAACCAAGATGTCATAAGACCATTTTGAACAATATCATCGGGTTGAATGAGATCGTTGAGAATATTTTGCGCAGGGAATAATTCCGTTTCATGGATATTTAAAGCTATAGTTTGTTCAAAGTCTGATTTCTCCATACCCTCTTGAATGTTTTTCATTAATGAACCTAATGAGATAAGACCATCAACAAAATCACACACAGAACATTCAGCTACTTGTTCATCCCAAATTGGTGGCAACCAATTTTTCTGATCAGTCATCAAGAACAGACGCTGAAATGTGTTCCAGTTCTGTTGTTTATCACCGTCAAGCGCTCGTAGTTGACTTAATGTATGCAGAAAACTTGGCACATCGCCCTCATCTGGATTTTCTTCGGGTGGAATAAGCCAATCTTCTCGTAACATTCGATAATCATTTACTGCAGCTAAAATATCTTTCACTTTCATACTTCCTAACCAATTTTCCGTTGCCTGCTTTTTTTTACTCATAAATTCGTCCTGTTTAATTAATATATCGATTTTGATATCCTCATTTAAACGAACCTCATGTTCAAGAATAGAAGCGACTCGATTTAAAGATGCCGATGAACACATTTCTAGTAAATTTAAATTGTCGATGAAATAATGTCGACAACAACCAGTACATAATAATGATACGGCATAGTGTAGCCATTCTCGAGCCATGATATTGGCAATGATTTGATCATCGTCCACACCTGAACATAGATCATCTAGATTTTTCAGTTCACACATCCATAAGACTGTTGTTTTGATGAAATAGGATGGTAGGATAGTTTTTGTGTGATCTTCGAGGCACGGTTCGTTTTTTAGATATCGATAATAAATACTTCGTGCAACACCATTCAGAATTTTTTCTGCTCGCGTACGATTCTTAGCTAATAGTATTTCAATTGCTGAAAATGAATATCGAAATTCGACTTCTTGGTCAATATCCGGTGTTTTACCCGACCATTTCGGTATGAGATGCATGGATGCTTGCTCTTGAATAAGTTCGTATAAATTGGGTCGAGTATTTCGAATTCTATTCAGAAATACTTGCATATCATCTGGCCAAAACTCAAGTTTCAAAGCTGGTACTACATCGGAATCATAATTCATTGACAATAGTCCGTACTCGATAAAATCTTCCAACATAGATGCATTTCCAAGATACTTATATTTTTCATAGAATTCAAGTACAGTATTCGATCGTACTTTATTCACTTCTGGCATTTGTATATAATACATAGGAAATGTTAAGCTAATTATGTTCTGAAACATTCGTTCATCAAAGCGTTCTGCATCAGCAATGAGACCAATTGAAGGTAATACATTTTTCGATATTGTTTTTCGTAGCGTATCACAAATTGTGATGTATTTCGATTGGAATTGTTCGACATTTTCTTGTACACGCATTCGTTGTATGAAGCTCAGTATCGCTTCGAATTGTTCACCAAGTGACGTAGTCTCGAAAACACTCTTATATTTCACTTCAGTACTTGCTGATACGGTAGTTGTCACACCGATCGACGTGATTGTTGATCTTGGAAATAATGCACATTTATCGATACCAGAGTACTTCTCTTTCATTTTGAAACCATTGATGCATAATACTCCATCACGATTTAGTTTGGTAGAGAATGGTGCTGTTGTGTGTACTTTGATATATCTTTCATCGTATTTTATTTGAACGAATCCAGGTACACTTTCGAGTTTGAGAATACAATCAGAAGACTTTATCGTTGCTGCAACTAGCATTAAATCGAGATCTTGCATTGGTTGTTGGGCAAGATGGCGCGAATAACTACCGCCTTCTATTGTGCTACCAGATAAAAAGGATGTGCTACCACACTTTGAAATTGTCGCCATTTTTTGTTGAAGTCAGTGATTTCACGTTCAATGTAATCTATACTTTGAAATGAATGCAAAGTATATGAAGAAAGGAATAATACGAATAGTTTACCTAACAAATTGTTTCTTTGATTTCTGCTTAAAGTGAGAAACAAAATGCATAGATACTGGTCGATGACAATGACTGTATGTATTTTTGTGTCATTAAATTCCAGGAGAAAATGTATTTTCAATATTTTCAACTTACTTTAAGATGAATAGTTTTGGCAATTGAATCCTTAGGTCTGAAATTATATTGTTAAAAAATATTTATGATTGCGCACATTTCTATTAGACTGATCGGTGCTTTCGAAATTTTACCTTCAAAATTTTATAAAAGCATACATCGTAAATTGCCGAGAGCAAACAATTTAAAAGAAAAATTCAATGTCAGTACATTTCAAGAATAGAATGTTGGCAATTGAAAAAATTTTCTCTCTTTGCTTTCAAATGATTCAATAAAATTATATAAACAATGAAAGACGAATTGCATGACATAAACGTATTTATTTTCCAACATGATGCATAATAAGCATGGTGACTGACTCATTATTGAAAATTATCCAATGGCATACATTTTCTCGCGAAAATTTCAAGATTTCAAATGTTATACTTTTAGATATTCAATGCCAAATTTCAAGAAAGTCTTTGAAAATAAAATATAGTCTTAATCAAATGTCATTTCGTTGGAAAGAAAAACAATATATGGTCCTTATAAATTTAAGCGTTTGCAAGAAACTCGACTATCTTGAATAATGTAGTTTTTTCGCGATCTCTTTTTTCTCTATTGAAGTAGAAAAACACATGTTGAAATTAGATAATAATTACATGAATACTGTCAATTGATTCGACTATATTATTAATAAGACAAACGAAAGGGAAACAAACAGGAGACTTTAGGTTCCTTACAGATCATATACGAGCACATCTTCAACATGTCATACTTGAAATTTTGTGGGTCTAATATAGTAACTGAAAAAATTGACCTAATGTGGCATTTAACTGCTTCCTTGAATCTATTAGCAATCAGTTTTAGCTTGACTTGATAGCGTGACTGTGGATGAACATGATCAACACTACACTATATGTGCTGTGGTGTGGGTGTGGTATCTGCCTTCTTTTTAGGCAGACTCACACCCACACCCTTATCTGATTTATCGTACGACGTTTGAATGTTAGATAAAACATTTTGCCATTGAGTATTTTTATGTTTTGCTATATCCACTTTTGATTCTCTTGTCATTGTGCGTAAAAGCACCCTCGTTTCCTCACTAAAAACTCCTTTATGTCTTGAATGATAATATCTATTTCTCACTTTTCGTATTTCTTTTAATTTTTCAATGATATTAGCCGGTAACGATGGTTTATATTTATCTCTCTCTTTCCGATGAGTCGCTCTGTTTTTGACAGCCGCGATGAAACGAATATATTGCTTATACCACTCATCTGCACTATTTTTCTTTTGTTCTTCCATCCAGAATATTTGTAATAGAGCTAATACTGCTTCAAATATCTTCCAATTTCTATAAGGAAAAAAATTGGTTGTATCAAAAACAATATTCTTGCATGATAGCAAAATCGACCAATGATCACTAGCGCCAAAATACAATGTTTCACTTGAAATAGTTCTCATATTAGAGAACGACAAATCTACATTACGTAGGGAGCGCTTAGACGTGTTGGTCGTTGAACTAATATAATTGAGATTGTTTTCATTTATTCATTCTCTCACGCTCGCACCTCTCCTGTCAGTTATTGGACTATTCCATTCTTTCACTGTTGCATTAAAGTCACCTGATCGAATGGTACCTTCTACTCCTCCATTCTTGTTAGTACCTTTTTGATAAAACGTGTTAAAATGTGGTAATCGACATGTGTTCCATAACTCTCCTACTTCTGTAAAAATACAAACAGACGCTTGAACTTCATACACTAAATCAATAGCTTCAACTGCGCGAGCGCCCCAACCTTCGACATTATAGCATAAAAATTTGATATATTCTTTTTGATTTTGTAAGGAAGCTATTCCAACCTTTTCCCATTCCTCTAAAACAGTATTCAAGGTTCCCCAGGTCGAGCATTACGACGACTAGATACGACCGTAAACGGCCGTATACGCCGAACTTACGACCGTATACGGGCCGTATTTTAACGTTTTGGTATGCGCCGTATTACGGCCGTATATCGCCGTGTCGTATACGGTACACTGTAAAAAATATCCGTAGAATAAAAAACGAAAAAAGGGTTTATGAAAGTGCAACGTGTCACAAACCCTTTTAAAGGGTTTATTAAGACATTATAAACCCTTTCATAAACCCTGGAAAAAGGGATGAACATAGGGTTTATGAGTTGCAAAAACTGGCCCTGAAGGGTTTATGAAAGGGATTATAAATTTCACAAATCCTTAACGGGTTTGCTATACGTTGCACTTTCATCAACCCTTTAGAAGGGTTGATTGATTCCAATTATTGTGATTGTGTATAATATTTTCTCTTCTCTTCGTATGCTTTAACCTGATAATTCTCTTGTT